GAGGAAGGGCCGGGCGGGGGGAAGGAGCGGGCGGGTTTCCAGCACCGGGGCTGTGCGCCGGGGGGCCCCGAGGTGAGTCCGTGCTCGGCCGCCGGCAGCGCCCTCCCCTTCACACCGGGCAGGTGCAGTCACCGACCCCTCCTGGGATTGCCAGCTCCTCCGCAGGAGAAGCGGGCTTTGTCTCTGCTACGTGTTTTTTGGTTTCCATTTACACGAAGTAGTTACGCTGTGGGCAGGGCTGCGGGGTTTGCGAGGAGGGCACAGAAGACTGGCCCCTCCACCCTACTGCACTGCAACCGCCCCGGCCCAGAAGGGCGGGAAGGTAAATCCAGGGCTGGAGGAGCGCGGGCAGGAGCGGGGGAACAGTCTTTAATGTTCCACCTCCCCCCGGCCCAGGCAGGCAGGCCTGCGGGTTACTGCCACAACTTTTCCCCTCCCTACCTCCCCTTTGGATCAGGATCAGTTTGGGGGTGGAAGGAAAACAAAAGAGCCACTTGTATTGTGAAATGCCTTTTGGTATGTACTTGGGGTTCGTGCTGCTGGATAGCCCTGACGGAATTCCACTGGTGTGGAAAAGAGCCTTTTGCTGTGCCAGTGACTAGTGCCTCAGTACTGCCAGCTTGTTACCTGCTCTCTGCTCCCCTCCACTTCTCTCATTTGCACTGCCCGTGTAACTGCTGCTGCATTTGCACAGAACATGTCCAGCCTCTGACTTAAAAATAAAAACAGATGTCAGAAACACTTTCTAGCCAGGCGTTCCTCTCATCACTTACTCTGGTAATGCCTGCACAGTAAGGGAAGGATTCCAGAATAAGAGCCAGACAGACCAGAGAGTGAGAAAGGAGTTACAAGACATCTGTTCCTTACAAAGGGTGTCTGTGTTTCTGTGCATTTTTGTATAGCTGCTGCCTTATTACTGAGGTGGCTGATGTGACTGACATGACTGACAGAATGATGTTCTGGTGCTAAAGGAAGATAGATAAGTCGCCTTAGCATCTACAGTAAAATAACCGTGATGAATAAATATAGTATTTTATTCCTCTCAATATCTATCTAGGCAAATAAGTTCTCTTACTGTGTGGGGGACTGCCACTGCCATCGCTGTGCAGCCTGCATTAGGTTGTGCTTGTCTGTGTAGAGATAAAAACAGTTGTAAAATACATAGTGAAAATCCTGCAATGATACCCAGAAGAAACGGTGTGTGTCATGGGAATATTGCTGTAATGTTTTTACTGTTGTATTTTGCTGTGTTGTACAGGCTGGTTTGCAAAACCTACAGAAAAGAATACATCTGTGAGTCCTCATGAGGACATGAAGGCGGCATTTATGACTGAAATGAAAGCGGAAAACATCAAGCAGTTTCTTTAGTAAGTGATGTGTACACTAATCAGTCCAAAAAAGAAAAATTCAAGCAGGAACCAGCCCAGGATGCCATCAGACAAAGTGATGCTGGTTTTTGGCCATAGGTTTTATCTAATGTGTCCCAGTGAACTGTGATGGACAAAACAGTCCATCTCAGCTCCTCTCAATCTTGTTACTCTTGGAAACAGTTGAAGTTGTCAGTAATCTCAGTACTTAAAGTAATTAAAAACTGGCCAAGCTCTTGCTCAGCATTTGGTGAATGCTTGTACAATGATGCAGAGGTTCAGCCTTTCTCTTATGTGTCTTTTTTCAGTCTACAACATTTATCTTCCATTGATTTTTATGGAAAAACCATTCACTTCAAATTAGGCAGTATGAATGTACTTAAATCAGGAGAGATTAAATGGAAAATAGAGGAGTATATCAGTGTAAGAGACAAAATCATACCAGTATTTGAGCCTTTAGTTCTTTCTACAGCTTAGGCCTTAATAACTTTGCTACTCTCCCTTCACACTTTATTATACTATGACCAAATTTATGTGTTAAATCTGTCACCATTCTGACTTTGTACTCACTTGCATGCAGAAAAATATGTTTCCAAGCTCTCTCCCTCTGCACAGTGAATAACTAGAATAGACATACTAGATACCAGCTAGTCATCTGTTTAGACTGTTCATAATAATAAATCTAATAGTCTTAAAGCATTTCAAGACCATGTTTTTTTCCTTTTTTTTTTTTTTTTTCATTTCATCTACCCTTTATATTGGGTGATTTAAAATATACTCTTGTTTCTTTTATTAAATCCTAGAAACAAAACTGCTAATATTTGTTCCTGAAAATTTAAACAGTGAAAGATGACAATATAGATATGTTAAAAATCTATTATAGTTTAATTAATTAATTTTTAAATTTCTCTAATTTAGGCTCTTTAACTACAAGGAAGCTGATGTAGGTTTTTTTATTTATTTTGGAGATCTTGTAAACTGATTCTTTTTTTCTTAGGATAGTATAGTATTTGTTAAAAGCATGTCTTTATTTGAGTCAGTAATAGACCAGAAGTCATAGTTTATTGACAGAAATTTACTTTCTGTGTAAAGGAGATGATAGAGTATCAGTTATTTTAGGAGTGATCAACAAATTTGGGGTTGCCTTAAATTCCCAGCCTGATTACATTGGATGAAGTTGTATCTTGCTGCAAAACTAAGTTCCTGGAAAAACATTTTCCGTTTATAAGATTTTGGCAATACTACTGGTTTCATTTTAAGTGCACTTACCAAAAACTATTGCAAATAAATTAGTGGGGAAGTACGTTCTCTTTACTGTGTAACAGTCATGCCCTGGACTATATAAACATTGAAAACTAAAAATTTAGGATTTTCTACAGTCATAACGTGTGTTTTGGCTCCTACAAAGTCAGCTGTTAAACAGCTCTGTAAAAGGACTGCTTTCTGTCCTCTAAACTCTCTGTCTCTATGCCAACAGGAAACATTGTACCTCATTTACTTGTCACAGGGGCAGTTCTGTGGTGAAATATGGCAGATACTTAGCCACTGCTCAGAACTACCAGTACAGGCAGCAAGCAGAAGAGGAAATGAAGAAAAACAATATTCAGTTAAATAGGAATATAATACAGGAGAACATTATTGCATGTGTCAAATTTTAATGAAAACGTGGGACTTGAGCATTCCTAACTCTTACAGAAGACAGCGTTGGCTCTAACAATAACACATAATCGCTCTTGGTTCAGTATATCATCCAGAAAATGGTACTGTCAGTGTAACAGGGACTTTTAGTACTAGGTAATACTCGATGTTGACATTATCAGAGGAACATGGTTTTATCTAGCAGCATTCCCCTGCTAAGGATTTTGGAGAAAAGGAGGCTGAGGGGCAACCTCATTGCTCTCTACAGCTTCCTGAGGAGAGGAAGTAGAGAGGGAGGTGCTGATCTCTTCTCCCTGCTATCAGTGACAGGACACATGGGAATGGTTCAAAGCTGTGCCAGGAGGAGTTTAGACTGGACGTTAGGAAGCATTTCTTTACCAAGAGGGTGGTCAAACACTGGAACAGGCTTCCTAGAGAGGTGGTCGATGCCCCAAACCTGTCAGTGTTTAAGAGGCGTTTGGACAATGTCCTTAATAACATGCTTTAACTTTTGGTCAGCCCTGAACTGGTCAAGCAGTTGGAGTAGATGATCCTTGTAGGTCCCTTCTAACTGATCTGATCTGATCAGATCTATTCTGTTCTGTTCCGTTCTGTTCATATAGTTCTTTCAAAGTGCTTTGTTTGATGGCTTTGTTCTCACTCAAAGTCAAGAATTAAAATTTTTTTCCAGTCTTATAACCCTTCCTTATCAAAGATTCAATTTCCTTTATTAACACCAGCTGGTGCAACACATGCTTCTGTGGCATGTTGATGGCATGGTCATATGACAGGATGAAGACATCATGATGACAACCTCATACAGCTCAGAGTTTCTTCAGCTCACTTCACCACTGGGCTTTGTCAATGATCTGGATAATTTTTTCTTTTCAGACAATAGGTTGCTCACTATTTATGGTATCTTTCACTGTTTGTTTTTCATGCTGCATACTTTCGAGTCACAAGCTGTTGAGATTTTGTGCTCCTTGTTTGTAAGCCACTGTGAACTCACTTTCTCTTGTTTGCCAGCAAGACACACTCAGAAAGGACTTTTAGATAAATCAATGCAAAAATTAATTAAAATAGTGGGATCCAAAGAGAATAGTTAATTAAAAGTAGGGATCAGAGTAATTACACACATTTCTAAATAAAATACACAACGATAATTGTACTTTATTTTTTTTAATCTTTTTTTATCACAAGGAAGGTCAGTCTCATTATGCCAGTTTCATTATGCATAGCAGTGGTTGGTATAAGGTCACCTGGAGGACAAGTAAAGCAAGAATAGGCCCAACAGCTGATGTCCTCATGCCATTTGTGCTAAGCCACACTGTGAGTAAGATGCAAACACCTATAATAGCTCGGGACAGACTGAAACCCTTTACCTTAACTTATGTATAAGACAGGCAAAAACAGATTCAGAGGAGTCTGGGTACTTATTTAGCCTGGGTACACCTGGTCCTCTCTAGAGGGGTTTATTTCTAGCTAGGCTAAGAGTTCTGATTATTACCTACCATGTCTGATCCTGACTCATTGCTTCTTTTTCTCTAGCAATTTTACACAGCTTCCTCACCTAGCAGGAACAAAGGAAAATCTGCATCTGGCACAGCAAGTCCAAGCTGAGTGGAAGGAGTTTGGTTTGGATTCTGTTCAGCTGGTTCATTATGATGTCTTGCTCTCTTACCCTGATGATACTAAGCCCAACTACATCTCAATAATTGATGAGCATGGAAATGAGGTACAGAAAACAGCGTTTTTTGCAACCAGTCAACAAAATCACCTTCATACACCTGGGAAAATTGGGAAGGAAAGCTATCCTCTGTTACTGGTGTTGGGCCTGATCCCAAGTGCACAGAAATCAGAGGTTCCAGTTTGCTTTTATATTTTGTATTTTTGTTTTGTAATATATGTGCTAGTAATACTAATGATTCATTTAGCTTACTGACATATGGATTAAAGGAGAATTATACAAGAGAATTACTTGATGTAATTCAATTGTTTTAAAATTATTGTGTTGTTTAGAAAGAGGAAAGCAATCATGGTCAGCATCATTATTTGCATTGATTCATTATACAGTATTGGTGATTCTGCTAAATTCAGTTTCTTGAAGATTAGAGTCTAGGCCTCGAGACGTACTCTCACAAGTAACATCAGTTCATTACAGAGTAGCTCTAGTGCCTGTAGAAGCTCCAGGGATGACCAGAATGCAAGCAGTTTTTACCATTATGATCTAACCTGCTCTTATCTGCTATACTAAGGTCACCTTAAGGGACCCTGTGTTCATTTAAGCAGGTTGCCATGTGAAGGGTGGAGATGGGATTTGCAAGATCACAACATTGAACCTGCCTACTGAAAAGGATGCCCAGTGCTTGCTAGAGTTTTGGCCATTCCTCCTTTAAACTAGAGTCCTTTAAACTGCAAATGCATGTGAAATGTGCCTGAATAGACAGGACTTCTTTTTCATATTGCCTGGTTTAATTTTTTTTTTTTTCTTTCCCACTAGATTTTTAACACATCGTTATCTGAGCCCTCTCCTCCAGGATATGAGACTGTTAGAGATGTGGTGCCACCCTACAGTGCGTTTTCAGCCCAAGGAATGCCTCAGGTAACGTAGTAGAATAGTAAGAGAAATGGACGTAGAGACAGAAATAGAAGTAACAGAAATAGAAAAGAGGGAATGCCATAGTGTAATGTAGTGTAGCATAGCATAGCACAGAATAGCACAGAGCAGTATAGAATAATGTGAATTTCCTGGGTCTTAGGCTTTAGTTCAAAACCTGACATGTCACCGGTAGGAAAGATGTCAGTTATGCTTCCCAGTCTAACTGTAGGTTACCTTCCTGGAATGTGGGAGAAATGGTTAGAGTTCTTCATACTAAGAGAAGCCAAGAAAGCAGCTCACGCATTTTCTGAGTGAGCACTATAATCAGGGAGTTGTGGAAATGTGATTTGGCACTGCTAGCACTATTGCTTTTTCCTGCAGCTGCTTTTTAAAAATAAGTGGCAGTGACTGTGTTTTGAAGGTTAAATACCATCAGTCTGGGGTAGTAGCTACCTGCCTGCTAGAGTGAGACCCTGCAGAGATTTAGAAGTAGTTCCCATTCATTTCAGGTTCTCAGTAGATGGAAGAGGGAATATATCTTGGTCTGTCATACAGATTTTCAGAAAATGTAAGTTTCTTCTGTGTGGTGTATTTTAACCAAATCCCAATAATCAGTTGGATGAAAAAAGTTATGTTTTGAGCAGAAACTTTTTTAACAGAAATATTTAGCAAAAAGTGGTCAAAGTAGTGAAGTCATATTCTGTCAGACAGCAGTAGTAGTTTGGAACATTAGCATCATAAGTGATGGTAAAATTTTGCTCTTCACTTCCTTTTTCAGTGATTGCAAAAGTACTCCCATTCAGTTAATGATGGTCACAAGTAAGAGGTGTTCTTTAGATCTCTAATTACGCTAAAAGAGCCCAGACAAGACATTTTATTAGCCCACACTATATTCTCAAAGCTTGCATTTTGTAATAGTTCTATAAACATAAGGGATTTATTCACATTACTAGGAAATTATGATACAAAACTGTCACAATGCTCTGATAAATTTATTACATTGATGTAGTTCTTAGTACTGTTAATGAAAGTTAAAGATGAAGAATTTTCAGAGATGCTAAAAGAATTTAATTAAGAAAGCCTAATTTACTATGCACTATATTAAGTAATGTCAGAATCTTCAAATAAGCACCTTTTGATGTAGTTTCAGAAATCTAGAGATTGAGTAAATAGAAATTCTGCAACATCAGGAAAAATGCTATGAATACAGATTATATACTTTATTTCAGCTATAGTTATAAGACCTTCTTCTAAAGATCAGAACTGTTCTTTATGTGATGATTCTACTTAAAGACATTACTTAAATAAACCCCGAAAAGCGTGAACAGGTTTTCACCATAAAATGTTACTCTCATATGTTAACTTGTTTTGCACTTTACTGTAGAACAAGGGCCCTGAATGTAAGAACCCTGCAGATTGCTATTAATTATTATCATTACAGCTCTGTGATTATGTAAGATAAACTACTGAAATCAACATTTTTGTATATTTTGTTAAAAATACAATAGCCTTCATATGTAGGCATTCTGTACAAGATGTTTTAAAGAGATTAGGTTAAAATGGAGGACCAAATTCCCCTTCTACTTAATCTAAATAGACTGGAAGAACTGTCTTGACTTCACTTGATTTTACTGAGAGGGAAAACTACTCCATAAATTCAGAAAAACCTCCCCAAGAACAATCCACATGTTTAAGAATTATTCTCTGAACAGAAAGGACCAGAATCTTACTCGGTTTGAAAAAGTTTGACTTATTTAAATAGAATCCCCATAATTTCATTAATTTATTCTGAGTTCATTTTGCTTAATTTAAGAAGAAATTGCAATTTGAGAAAATTACTGGTGAAGCCAGTACAGTCAAAATGACTTTACCACAGTCTACCAGGACATGCTGTATGCTGTTATATGAGACCACCTGAATGTCTAGTCAGCAATTTTTATCAGTATAAGAGACTTAAAGTTTATACCTTTTTGAAATTAAATTGAAGATATCTCTGGAGGTGTCTGGTAATATGGAGAAATGCACTAAGGAAGAGTTTCCTGTCACCTAATTTTAGTTGTCTAAAATTGTAGGCATCTTCCCTAACCAGTCTTTGAGGCTTTTTATAGGCATTTACTCTAAAACAGTCTTTGACGTATGATAGATGAGAGGTGTATTCAGAGCTCAATTTATTCCTTTCTAAAATAGGTGTTTAAAACAGATTTGAGGTGAATTATCCTGGAAAGGGTGAGTTCTCAGAGAACTTTCCAGCTCTTTACTGTCTATGGAGAGCACTACAGGACCTTCTCAGACAATGCACAAACTTTTAGGTAGCTAACATTAAAGAAGATGAACCACACACCAAGTGTTGACACGGTTGAAACACAGTCATGATGAGTACTTTATTTGTGTGAAAGGTATATTTATTTTGACAGTCAACCACCTGTAGCTTCTACCGTACTGAATAAGAATCTAGTCCTGAGAATTTCATAGGATATTGGCATCATTCACTTTATGCATAAAATACAATTGATATTTATTGTGGTGTCTGGGTCCAAAACACCTCCAGCTGTCTAAGACTGACTACAGCTTAAACAGACTAGAAAGAGAAGTAAATGCTGTACTCTGGTCACTTTAAGTTTCTGATTCAGAAGTCATATCTTAAAATTGTTGATTGTGGACAAAGTCTGGCAGCTTTGGATGGTAGGAGACTAAATTCATTAGGAGTCATTTGCCTGCCTAATTGTCTCATGATCAGAAAAGAATTCATACTGGAGCCAGTCCCAGAGCTCATTTTTCCCAGTTTATTCTCTTATTAGATCACATACTCCTTCTGTCATACTCACTGACATTGTTGTTCCAAATTCTACCTCTTTCTCTCAGGGCGAGTTAGTGTATGTGAATTATGGCCGCACTGAGGATTTCTTTAAGCTAGAACGTGAAATGGGAATTAACTGTACGGGAAAGATTGCTATTGCCAGATATGGGAAGATCTTCAGAGGAAATAAGGTAATGCACTATATAAAGATGTTATTTGTGCTGTTCTTCAGTTGATTTCAAGAGACTGAAACACTAACCTAAAGTGTTTTGGAGATTTTAGCATAATGAGTTTTCATATAGCTGTGTTCAAAGATTAATCTTTAGTAGAAGATACAAAATATATATTAGATATATATAATAAATCTATAGGATAAAAAGTAAATAAGTTGGAAAATGTTACATATTTTAATATTCATTTTCATACTATAAATTGTTCCAAAATATTACTAACATTCTTGGGAAATACATTTCAACTCTGAACTAGACTGTTGTTGCTGTGCGTTAAGATACCTATATTGTGTTTCTTTATAACAGTTTCTGTACACCAGGCAGAGACTATAACTATATGGAGGTTATTTTAAATTCTATATTTGTTTATTAAATATCCCTATCATATAAATATTTTTAAACTACAGATTTCTGCAGATTTCCATGGCCTGAGAGGAAAGGAAATAATCATGTGCATGCTTCAGGCATGCGGTCAAGTTATTTCCTCGGTAGAGATGTAAGAAGACAGTCTATTTTAAGTCTGTTTGGCTCTTGTACAAAAATTAGTTTGACCCTAATTTGGGCAGGACTATAATTTGTATTTCTCAGTTACCTAAGGGTATCCAACCCTGAATTTCCTTGCTGGAATGCCAGATCTTATTATATGCTGTTTACTAATCTTCTGTGAGCTTTTAAATGGGTAACTCACTGGTTTGTATACATACCATTTTCACCAGTGAAGAGTGACATGTAACTCATATTCTGGGTCAGATAATATTTTCACTAAATTGTTCACCACACTTAAACATACTATCTGAACAGAAAAGACTTAAAAATTGAAGAAGTTATTGCTGTCTGTGAATCTTTTCTTAAAATGAAATACAAACACATCAGTGTTACTAATATCTAGAGGTGTGATTGTACTGTGGTTTGGAAATTACATGCCCCCGTTGAGTCAAAGGGAGGGTATGTTAATTCTGAACAGTAGCATTTCTAATGACTTTTTATATACTGAATAATTCATTAGCCTGTATAAAATCTGGAGAACTGTGCTGTTATTTTCCAACTTCCTAATGGTGTGAAAAAATAGGATAGAGGATGAAGGCAAATACTGTATTTCTAAAAAAAGGTACGTTATTTCTGAATTAAAATACCCAAATTTAAAACCGTTGAGGATTAATTGTCACTCAGTCACTACACATCACTGTCATGTCTAGTAGCAAAACAGATTGGGATGTCAGAATAACATACATTTTCTCTCTTTCACTCTCTACCAACGAGTATTATGCAATAATAAAGTCGCATGAGAACACTTTTTTTTTTTTAAATCAAAACAGCATGCAGGTCAATCCTCCTGCCATAATAAGCATAAGATACATGCTCTTTAGAGTTAGTCTTGTTCACAGCCAAAGACAGTTTCAAGCTCTCCAGTAATTCTTTCTGTGTACTCTGAACCCTGAGATACTTTCCAGAGATCATTTAGGTAAATAAGGTAAATACCTTACTAACTGAAACATAAGGTTGCATCAGTGTGATACAGTTTTTTCTATCCATGGTGTGTACATTTCAATAGTCAGTTGATTGTAATGGTCTGGGTGACAGAATACAAACTCAGGTTATGTAGTAATACTGTGAGAGATGTTTTCCATGTCACTGCAGTTATTTCCTAATTAAATTTCAAAGCAATAGCAAACCTCTTACTATCATATGAAACCAGATGCATGTATATATATTTTCAGGAAATTTTATGATATGAGACAGTTAGGGGCCTTTTACTTAGCTCAAGCACTGTAAAAGGCCCTGAGGAGTAATCACTGTCATTTATAATACTTTCTTTTGCCCCTTGAACTCTCGTGTCAAGCTATGAAGGACTCAATAGGGACCAGAGATGTGCTTTGCAGGTGAAGAATGCTGAATTGGCAGGTGCCAAGGGAGTTATTCTGTACTCTGACCCTGCTGACTACTACGCCCCAGGAGTAGATCCTTATCCAAATGGCTGGAATCTGCCAGGTGGAGGAGCCCAGCGTGGAAATGTGTTAAACCTGAATGGGGCAGGGGATCCCCTGACGCCAGGTTATCCTGCAAAAGGTGAGTCACACTAGAGAAGTCATGCTCTGGAGGTCTGGTTTCTGGAAAGGGAGTGAAGGTAATGGGGATGTTCTTTCCCTTGGAACAAAACACATTTTTTCTTGGTCTTTCTGTTGCTCAAAAGAGGCAGCATTGGGCTTCATGTCAGTAGGCCGCTTCTGCAAATGGTGCATGAGAAAAAGTGAAGGGATTTTAAGGGAGCCACACAGTGCAGTGCTGAGCTGCTTAACTTCACAGACATACCTAAATGAGTCCGGAGATCATGACATAAGTATTCAACAACAGAAAGAACATAGTGTTCTTTCTGATGAGTAAGGCAGCAAGGAGCTAGGCTGCACAGCTCACAGATTTTTTTGCTTTTGCAGTTCTCCTTTCTGTAGGATTTAGGCTCCTTTCCTTCCACAAAAGCCCCTGCTGGCAATGCTGAGATCTTTCATGCTGTGACTCATATCACCCTGGTTGCAGCTGAGGCTCCTGAGAAGATGACCATTCCCCACTGGACCGTCACCTTCACTTCATGTTTCCTCAGCTGCTTATTTGAGCTCTGCCAGAGCTGTTTCATTTAGCACCTAACCCAGATCATTTTGACTGAAAGGCATTAATAACCGTTCATGCTAGCACTTGAGCCAGCATATCTGAGGGAGGCAGTCACCTCAAGAAGAGTAGTCCCTAGCTGATGGGGAAAGTTACCTCTAGCCAGCACAGCATGAGCTGGAAGAGGATATGTGTTCACAACAGCAGCATGGCAGAGGCAGACTATGAGAAAGGTTTCTAGTTCCTCCTGCTTGAGTCAGTGATCTCAGGGGTGAATCCCTGTCTGCTTTCCTCAACAAGGGTCCCTGTGAATATTGTTTTAAGGAGGAAACTATTCCATACCTGCTGGCTTGAAAACATCAAATTTTGTCCACATTGTGAAAATTCAGATTCTCATTTGTAAAAACCCCCATGATTTGTATCCGAGCTTTATCAGAATAAAAACAGCAAACCAGCATATTCAGTAGCCCAGTGTATAAGATTTCATCTGCATCTCTAATCAACTGACAAAAATTTTTTAGTTCCCAGCTGAATGTTCCAGGCAGCAGACTACAGGCTTCCCCTTTGCTTTCATTCTTTATCTGTGGCTTAGTCTGAAGTTCTTCCCCACAGAGGGAAATATTTCTATATTAAAGCTTTCAACAGATAAAAATTAACAAGTAATTTTAAAATTTCCAGCCTGGTCTAAATGCATGTCTGCAGACACTAGGGGAGAACCTTTGTTAGTGTCTGAAAACATATTGTTAAAACATAAAAAATTAAATCACTGAAGAAATGTCAGCCTGACTTCGAGGAAAGTGAAATTATCCCTGACTCCAGTGTTAGGACTATGCTATGAACTGTACAGATTTCTTCTGAGAGTTGTAAACATGAATATATCTGTCTTTGGCTTTCAGAGTACACCTACCGATTAGACAAAGCCAGTGGTGTAGGTCTCCCAAAAATTCCAGTTCATCCCATTGGCTATCATGATGCCGAGTTATTACTACGGTAAGTGTATGGGAGACATGAGGAATTTTAAGCAGACTATTATTTGAAAGTTATTAAAGTATTTGAAAAGAAATGGAAAACACTTTTGCACCGTGCTCTACTGTAGCTGTTGAAATAGTATACATTTGTCATTAGGTTCTCTGTAGGACTTAAACTTGTTATCTGTTACTACATATCAGATACATGCAGAGTGATGTGGAAAGGATCATCTGCAATATATCATGATCAGTCAAGTAAACTGAAGTTATAAAGTGCCTCTCAGTTTGAATTAAAGCAAAAATTTTTGAGGATGGCATGATACCTATCTTGTGAAAAAGACCACAAACAAAGTTGTTCATTTGTCCAGGGAAATACTTACCGTGCATATTTGATGGGACAGTGTCTGTACTGTCCTCTGTTAAATGAAGGTGTGTGCTTTCTCTCATCAGGTGTATTACATTGCATAAATATGAAATTATGCTAGTGAACTAAAATAAGGACAGTGAGGAAAGTCTGCAGTATTGTAGGGGATTTAATACACATCTACCTGTAAGTAAGTGTGTTTACTAAACATGCAAGTGACATGAAGACAGGCTACGAGCTTGCCAGAGGACAGCATTAAAATTCACAATTATCTTGACACCCCAAGTTAGTTCTCTGAAAAAACTAAGGTGTGATTGAGTTTACAAGTGTACCATATCCCTAAAAATGTACCATCTGTATGAACTGTAGAGATACAGAGCAGGAAATGCCAGGGTTGGCAACAGTACCATGGACAAGTGTTTAGGGCAGTAAGTGAACATAATCTTGGGTATGTATTTGTATAGGAATTTTACATCTAAATCACATGAGAAATCATTCTGCTCTTGTATGATGACTCTTTGAATATTGAGTCAAAAAAAAATTCTGTCTTGGTTTTCTGTGCAGGTTTCCTCTGAAGTATTGAAGCTATTTATTTTTATATTGAGGCAGAATTTCACTGTCTTTGGTGTTTTTGCATACCTGATGTTCATTAACACTGTTTTAGTGTTTTTTTCCTATTTCCTCTCAAACTTTCATGGTCTAATATATCTCCAAACTGTCTTTTCTTTAAAACTTTCTGGTCGTCACTGTTATGAGGATATCTTCTTATCATAATAAAGTTATAGGTTAAAAACCTCTCTTTTTTCCACTGCCAACTGCTAGTGGTAGATCAGATTAATACGTATAAATACGATGTAGCTAGGTATTTCTCTTCAGTAATTGTAAATAATTATAGAACTTGGTTTTAATAATTATGAATGAAATCTAAATCCTCTAAAAGTACTGGCTTCTTGTTTTCACTTTTGTCTTGAGAAGTCATAACTTCTGGATATTCCTGCCGTTCTATTTTTGTATGAAAAATATACTGAGGACTTGAAGAGATGATGAAGTTTCTGTGGAATACAGTTTGACTGAAGTATGCATTTACAGTAAAGGACATGCTTTCATTTACAATATATTTTGCTTAATAAGAACCAGAACATCCAGCATACTTTTTAATTTTTTTTGTGTGGGTTTCTTACAAGTTCATGTCAAAAGTATAAATCCTTTAGAATAGGTAAGAATGGGTGATTGTGATCCACTGAATTACTGCATTTCCAGTTGTGTTAACTGAGAAAAAACATCTTGCCTTTGACAATGAAATAAAAAAAGATGACTTGGAATGATCACGTTTCTCCAATTTTAGACATCATTGAAAGACATCAACTCTGTCTACGCTGCCAGATTAAACAGTGTCTAGGGACAGGCACTGGAAGACAACTGCCTATGCTGTTAAACTGTTAGAATGGTCTAAGTTACTCTCTGCTAATTCAAATGTAAATGCATTTTAAGGCAGTAGAAAGTTCCAGGGACCATTTAAAAGAGGCACTTTGTATGCAAAACCTTTGGAGGCCAACATTGTTTTCCAGGATAGCTGTAGGCTGTTCCAAGCTGATCTCAGTGCTCAGGACTATTCCTCTATGTTTATTTTCTAGTATTAGTGTAGCTGAAAACACAGATTATGCTCCTGTAGAAACTTGCAGTATACATTTTCTAAGACAATTACTGTCACTGTGGTCTGTGTGTGCATGTGACCTAACAAAGTGTGGTTCCTGGTTCTTCATTTGTGTTTGGTGCTATTGTGAGATGTCTGTAAATAATGATGTTTTGGGTTTTTTTTTATCAATAGTAATATGGGAGGATATGCACCACCGCATAGTAGCTGGAAAGGAAATTTGAATGTGTCTTACAACGTTGGTCCTGGTTTCACAACAAATTATTCTACAAGGTCAGTTTTGTTTCATAAGGAAAGCATGCTTGGGATCAGAGAAAAACAGGTAGAGCAATAGAATTTGACCAAAGGTAGAGTAGATGGGGTGATTTGCATCATTCCTTTGATTATGACCATTTTTCTGGGCTGAAATGTGCTCAGTGCAAAGCTTCAGTAGGTTTACATCTTGATTGGATGGATATGACTGAATTGCCTTAGTTTCAAGCCAGTCTTGAACCAGTTTAATTTTAAAAACATCTAGCCTTTGACAAACTATTAGATGAGACTGATTATTTTTTTGAGAACTGAATTTATTTGTTGTCTTTTTAAAATTCATGCAGGTCCAGTTTCTGGTCTTACCTATTGTCTTATATAAAACAGTATTAACCTACAAGTCAAGTTTTCCAGAAAAAAAGTTTTCACTACAATGTAATTTTTATTGCTTCAGATTGTTTTAAAAATTGATTTAGTAATTACAGTTTAAGACTAAAGTCCAGGTGTTTCAATATTGGCTGAGCTATTGTTCTGACTTAATTTGAACCATTTGACATTTTCCTTATGTCTTAGTCATACCACGTGAAAAAATATTTCTGAAAAATATACAGACAACCCTTGAGGATGAGTTGTTGCACCTCCAGCTGTGTTGTAGATAAACGCACAAAGAAAGTCTCTTGATACACCTCAGGATTTTCTGCTGCCTGAGGTGCCACATCGGTATTGACTGTGCTGGAGTCAATTCTGATTTGCATCAACTTCTAGATAATTAGAACTATTTACCTTTTTAACATTAGATGGGTTTAATTTTTTTTCACTCTTCTGAATTTAAAAATTAACTACTAGCAAAAGTCTTTGAATTTGGAGTTCTGAGCCTGTTATCTGTATAAAACTTATTGACATCGATAATAGTACATAGCTTTCAAGGGCTAAATGGTGTTCTTAGTTGCACGGGTATAAATCCTGAAAAAAAGGACACTGTAATATTTTCAGGATTTATTTTAGTTTAATGTAGGGTAAATTTGGCCAAAATGCTTTCTTTACAATTTATATTTTCCACTTTTGAAAGGTGTCAAAATGTTTTATTATCTAATCTGGTGGATTTTCTTTGGATTTTCTTCCCAATACACTAGAAAGGTGAAAATGCACATTCATAGTAACAGTGAAGTAAGAAGGATTTACAATGTGATTGGTACCATCAGAGGCACAGTGGAGCCAGGTAAAGTCATTTGTCTTCGGTGTAATGTGAGTGTGCAGTGACCTCTACATGCACTTCATAGTTACAAGGGAGAAATGAGGAATATGGTTTTCTCTGAAATATTGCACTACATGATCATTGGTGTTGAAATGTTTATTGCACCAGCTTTCATATGGTTTAGGGTATGTCAGCACGTTCACTGTAAATGCTGATTTTCAAGGGGGAGTCATAACCAAGACAGAAATATTTGTCTTCAGGCAAGTAACTCTGTAATTGAAAGAATATTCTTAAGTGGATATTCTTCCCTACTAAAACAGGAATGGATATTGCATTCCACCTGAACACATCATATCCACCACTGTTGACTTACAGTCACTGTCTGTCTTACAGTCTCTTGTAACCAGTGTGATTTTACACTCTAAAAGAATAGATATATAGACATCCCCAGGATGATAACACATCATTTAACCTCTAACTGCAGCACTTCCCCGTTGCCTGAAACACAACCATATTATAGTTGCACAGATGTCTAGTCTGACTTTGATCATATTAATCACATCTTTGTCATGATTTGATTGACTACATATATATTCAGAGAAATGTTGCATTCAGCACACCTTAATGTTGCGAGTTGGCATGCTGTACAAATGTAATTAGTGGATCAACTTTACCATGAAGCACACTGTTGTAAAATATGGCAAGATGCTTCTACCTTTAGAGGAAAGGTGAAGTAGTTCTAATAATAGAAATAACATTATGGAATTTAAGAGGTTTTAAGTCTTATGGGATCAAGTTTTTGTGTTTGACAAATTCTTTAGCACTGGCTGAAAATGCAGAAAAATGGAGATTTAAAATATCTTTTGCCTTTATATCATGTATATTATAAACTATTAAGCTTTGTTGTCTGATACCTACAAGGAAAAGTAGAAATTGCTTCCAATTAACATCTTCATGGAAGGAAAATTTTTTTCTAAGTAAACCTCCATAATTAATTTCTCTAGATAGATATGTCATCCTGGGAGGCCACCGTGACTCATGGGTGTTTGGTGGCATTGATCCTCAGAGTGGGGCAGCTGTGGTTCATGAGATTGTGAGGAGCTTTGGAAGACTAAAAAGGAAAGGTAATGAAAGAATAAAGCACACCAGAATCACTGCTCTCAGCAGAGCCCATTGATTTCTCTGAGATTTAAGAGTATGCTTAAAATTAAACGTGTATCTGATCTCTCGAATAAGCACACTGCTCTGCAGCTGTTAACTAATTCCAGTTACACCCTTGGTATATGTGAGGTACTTTTCTACTCAAGAGAAAGTAACACAAAAACAAAACATATAATGAGAGATACTGAAATAAACATGGCATTTATGTACAACTGGTTACCGTGTGTTTGAGTCTGGTCAGACTGGTTGTTTCAGTGGCACTATATAACTGTGGTGGACTGATCAAGACTTCATCAGGACAACATTGAGAGCCTTCTCAGCACTTGACTGTAGTTTGGAGACAAACCCAAGAGTAAATGTCTGTGTAATGCAGAGAATGAGCTGTGCAAACATAGTAGGAGGTAATGGTTAAAAATATCTCATTACATTAGAATAGGAACAAATGTCAATTGTACCAAGTTTCTGCTGCTGTCAGAGCAAATGCTATTTCCCTATCTGACATCCCATGGAAAGAAGCTCTGACATAACTCAAATACTGTGCTAGAAGAGCTTTTTTTGCCTACCCATTACAGTTAAAACCTACTGACATTTAGTTTTCTTTCCATTCCTTCCCACTTACTGATGTCAGGGGAAACTGTCTTTGGAATGCAAGCTGGAAAAAAAAAAAAATAAATAAAAAGGTGAAAGAGAAAGGGAGGAAAAGATACCAGTAGCCTCAAATAAAACTGGGCAGAGATAGAGAGGCAGGGCAATAGAGCCTTTTCTATTTGGCCTGGGTTTAAATCAAATGCAGAACTTCAAGTGGAACATCATTGTTTTGAAGGTGGTCTGTCAAAGTTACAGTGAATTCCTTAGGTTTTGAAATCTGGCATTTGGGAGACAGGTCAAAGAAGTTCAATAATAGATATGAAAACATGCCAAACACTTTCTGTCAAAGTAGACACTGGTATACAATGTGTACTAAATTGAACAGAGCAAAAAAGAGTAGAAAAGCTTTCTTTCAAGGATTTGTGCACAAGCACATCATTTTTCCTTCTTCAGAATTTTAAATTTTAGACAATTCTCTTCCCATTAAAGCTGAGAGAAGAAAAAGAATACATTATTTGGCACAACACTGCAGTACAAAATAAGCAAACCATTACTAGATTAGCTTAGTGAAGAAGTTGGTGTTAAAGGTCCTTAAACACACCTCTTTCCCCACAGATCAGGATAAAAGATGACCCACCCCCCCCATGACATTCGTTTTCATGCTATTTACCATGTAACAAGCCATCTTTATTTCTGTAATACAGTTTTCATGATCTTTTATTACAGGATGGAGGCCAAGGAGAACAGTGATATTTGCAAGCTGGGATGCAGAGGAATTTGGCTTGTTAGGATCGACAGAGTGGGCTGAGGTAAACCAATAGTGTTCAAAGAGAATCTCTCTCTCTCTCTCTCTCTCATTTCCTTTTGAACTTCCAAGAATATATGGCTCCGTGCAGTATATGATGTCTTTCCCTGAAACAGCCGTTACTTCTGTGAATGGGAAAATAGTTCGGAGGAAAAAAAAAAAAAGTTCATCAGCCTTTTCTTCCTCTTTTCCTTTTCATAGGAAAATGCCAAAGTATTGCAAGCACGGGGAGTGGCTTATATCAATGCAGATTCCTCCATCGAAGGTATGTAGTTTTGACCTGTGTTTTACAGGAATAGTGATAGTGTATCCAGATGACTGGGAGGCATTTTGGCTTGGAGATCCGTGAAAGTTTCAATGTGACAATTTTGTTGCATTAGTTCAGGAGTAGATATGGGGAGAAACTGTGACCCAGAATCATAAAGTATCCTTCAGATATTCCTGTTACTTCAGGGAAGTCTTTACAGTAGCTACACTCTTTAGGAAGTCATGGGGAGAGATGAGAAGTGTTGTGCCTCTGTCAGCAGTTCTATGGCAAATCTTTAGAGTCAGCTTCTCCTCTTAGAATATGTGTAATAAACACAGGGACATAGGAAAGCTCTTAATGGTTGCTTCAGAAGCTGGGCTGTTATTCATCCTAACCAATACAATTGCACTGACAAGCTCACAGGAGAATTCTACAGGGGGAATCAGCTTGTTCCTTGAGCGTAGCTGTCTAGTCCCTTTCTTATTAACAAATAATGGCACAAGGTTTCAGCTGAGTAAAACTTGCTTCTTCATATTTTTTTTCCTTTTTTCCAGGAAACTACACACTACGAGTGGATTGCACACCACTGATGTACAGACTGGTATACAGTCTGACTAAAGAGGTAATATTGCTTGAGATTTTTAGCCAGTATGTTCAGTGCTCACTTACTGGATGGGGCCCAGTGTCTAAAATATGGTGTCAATATGTTTCTTTCTTTCCTGACTGAAGCACCCCTTTTAAAGTCAGTAGCTAAGTAACTGGAGCTTTTTCCCAGGAGTGGCAAAGGGATTCAAGCTTATATCTTTAAATTATTAGCTATTCAGGATTAGGGGATTTTTCCAACCCTCCTGTGAAAGTATTCCTTCTAAGAACAAAACAATAAAAACCCACCATGAGCTAGAGGACAGAAACAAGCACAAACCTGGATGCCCAGTCCAACTACTAGGGTGCCTATGGTAGTGGAGACTTTGACTCCTTTTAGGCAGGGGAAGAAATTAGGCCCGCTACAGCAGTGTTTTTAGCATGATATGACAGGTTTGGTCAATGTGCTCAGCTTCAGTGTCCTCTGTTGGGTAGTCATGGGCTCTGACCGTGATGCTCTCACACATATTTGCATGGCACACAAAAGGCAAGGACCTTTCTCAGTATATAACCTCACCATCTTAGGAGTTAAGATGTTCCTTGCTTTGACAGTAGGTCTTAGAGGCTGGCACTAAGGGGGTTTTATTTCTGTTTTCTTTTTTAATGTTCATCTCAGTTAAAGCATGAACATTGCATTAGTCTTCGTTTTGTGTATTTTATGTACATATCAATAATGTACATTCATCTACTGTATATAGTCTATGAATCTACTATATCTGCACTCATCTGCTGTATATATTCATTCCTCCCTTTTCCGGGGTTGATAATTTGTTATCTCTTGGAAGCTGGCATTAGACCCGTACAAAAGTAAAGGAAATACAGTAGTTCAATATAATAATTTTCTGGCAATTGAAAAACAACAAATAAAATTTAACTCTGTAAAATTAGGTGGCCAGATAAAGATATTTCTGTCCTGAACTGCAGAAGTGCTAATCACCTGTAGTTCCCATAGTAACATATGCTAAGTGCAGGTGGTCAGAACAGTCAGAAAATCAGGTCAGCAGAGTCTCAGCTTGGACACCAAGAGCCTTCATTAAAACGTTGACCTAAATACCAGTAAACACGGTTGCGTAACCCTTCCTTGAGCTGAGAAGCAGCAACAAATGTTGATGAATGCATGTAACCACAACTTGTTGGTAGCTGATGTCTGAAGAGAATGCTGATCAGGAAGCAGTATCCCCTGTGATCCCATCAAAGTTAATCTGTGGCAAAAACTGTTAATGCTGTTAACACTGTTAACACTGGTCTATGAACAATTAGCTTTATGACCAAAACCCCAAATATATTAGTTTTATTTTGATTCCTATTGTGAGGTAATTCCTAGATAGTAGATATTCATATATATACTATTATTAATATCTATAATCTTTACTAAATTAAAGATTATAAAACCTTATCAGCCCGCCAATAAAAAGGAAAGGTGAAAGAATAGCCTCAATATTTAACCTGCTCCGTAATCTGGAAAGTAGTCAGAGTGATAGGAACAAATTTTAGGATGATCATGGTTTATATACCTCTGTATAAGCTATGATGACATAATCCCCAAGTACTGTACACTTTGACCTTCTAAGATTACTGCTGCAGCCATGAAAATAACTTTTTGTGAACTAAAACAAGGTAGAAGCAGTTTTGAATTAATCCACAACAAAACTGAAATTTCCTGCATAAGTTAAAGAAAAAGTTTGGGGTTTGTGAGGGATTTGTGTGTTGAATATTTAAATACTGAAAATCTCATAAATAAATACCAGAATGTAAATATTGACTTGAAACGTTTTGCTTTCCCTGTGTTTTCTGCCATCTAAAATTACCGGTTTTAGCAAATAAACTATTCCTCTGGAAAGCGCTATACATTTCAAATGTTAAAATGGAAATGCAGAAAGGTTGGGGGACTTAAGACTGTGACTTATTCATTGCCCTAAAGCCATAGGCTTTATGTGATCACAGGTTGTGTATTTGTTGCTTGGTAACATTTAAAATTGTACCCTTTGTCTTTTTTTACAAAATACTTTTTCTAGATACCAAGTCCTGATGAGGGGTTTGAAGGAAAATCTCTTTATGAGAGCTGGTATAAAAAAAATCCATCAAGTGAATATAAAGAGGTCCCCAGGTCAGTGACAAAAGAAAATAAATGATATAGCAAAAATTATTATAACTTGTGTGGGTTTTTAAGTGTGGGTTTTAAAGAAATACCCACTTGAAAAACTGAGCACCTAAAAGAAATGGTGTGATTCTCCGCTGGTGTAAATTTCAGAGCTTTATTGTTTGCAGCTGATACACTATTGTACAACAGCTTTGTGAACCTGCCTTTGTAGCATGAACAGGAGGCTTTATATATGAAAAAAAAAAAGTCTATAAAAGCAGTTTATAGAGATTTAGACAAATAAGGGTAGTATGCAGAAGCCAGCAGCAGGCACACAGGATGCTAACTCAGCAGCTTTTCCTTGAACTTGCTTCCTGTGTCCTGGAAGGCCTTCGAGTTTGGGTGGCTGGGGAGCACACCAAACAGGATTTTACAACACTGGCCTTCAAATTTACCAGGCTTTCTCTAGAGAATCTCAGACTGATTCTGTTCCATGCTGGTACTGTTCTGATTTCTCTGAGTTGAGAGCTCAGGATAATGGAAGTTCAACAGGTGGAAGGTCACTGGGTCTTCTCAATGATTAGAGTGAGTTAAATTCTCGTTTGATTTCTCTGACCCTGAGAATGATGACTGTGCTTCTCTAAGAATGCAGTTGATCAGGTGCATGTAATGTAGGGGTCACAAGCAATTCATGGTATACTGACAGAAATAGTGTACTAAGGAAAGACTATAGTGACTGTGACTGCACAATAAAGAATTGCCACAGTACTGGGAAGCAAACTAAAATTATACTTCAAGTATTGTCACTCAAGGCATTTTCCTCTTTCTTGTTAAAAGAATAAATAAACTGGGTTCTGGAAATGACTTCGAAGTCTTTTTTCAACGTCTTGGCATCGCTTCAGGGAGAGCACGTTACAGTAAAAATTTGGTAAGTTTGTGTCTTTGTAATTTTGTCTCCCCTGTAACTGCCTGAATAATATCACCTGTAATTGAGCCATTTAGACTGCCAGTTTTTTGGAGTTCAGTTTAGTGTGTCAGAGTGGAGCCCTAGTTCATTACTAGAACTCTGTGTGCTACTGCAACACAAATATTTATTAAATAGGTCATCTTGGTGTCAGTCAGATGAAAGGAACTTTGCTCAGGATAAATGGACGTGCTCAAAATTACCTATGGTTGATGAAGGGTTTATAAGTGCCTTATGATGACTTCTGAATGATTTGTAATAAGAAGTTCTGAACTCAAACCGGTTCATTTTTAATGGAAAATACGTGTTTGACTGTAGAGTGTAATGTGGATGAGACTGACAGATGTTCAAGGAGCAATCTATTCAGTATGGTGTTTTCCTCTGAAAACGTGTATCCAAAGACACAAAGAGGAATGACTTGAGATCCAAGCAAAGAGAGGAAGGGCAATCTCACCTTTAATTTAGCCAACTAAAAGTTATTTGGCTGTTCTTAGCTACCTTCTTTAGGCTCTACATGGTCAGTGGAGAGAGATTTCTCCAAACAACTGTTCATCATAGGTTGATGTCCAGGAGAGCCACCACTGAGCAGTTCTTCTCATTCGACTGTCTGTAGTAGCTACATAGGATTAACGTGACCTGAACACTGAATTTTACAGTGCCTTGAATCCCACAGCAAAGGTTTTCAAGCAAAGCTGAAGTATCCACAGCTGAATAATGGTTTTGTTTGTTTCAGAATGTGGAAAAATATAGCAGCTATCCAGTTTACCACACTGTCTATGAAACCTATGAAATTGTGGAGAGATTTTATGATCCCACTTTCAAGAATCATCTGACAGTAGCTCAGGTACGGGGAGGGCTGGTTTTTGAATTGGCCAACTCCATTGTGCTTCCTTTCGACTGTAGAGATTATGCATCAGCTGTCAGCAACTATGCTCACATCATCTATAATTTGTCAAGGAATCATGAAGAGGAACTGGCAACATACAGTGTATCCTTTGGTACGTACAGGCTTTTATCACACTCCTCTGTTAATGCTAGCAGTGCCTTATCTTAATGCGTATCTTAGTCAGGACCTGGTATTTACCTTGTGTTGAATGAACAGTATATAAAACAAATGCCACACCCTCAAATAATTTAAATGTGGATATTTTGTCACTAGTGTGCCTATGTAGAGACTATGCGACTGCCAAGTAGAGCTGACACAGTTTCACATTCATGGTTCACTGATGATGGCAACAAGATATCTTTGTCTTGGTCCCTAAAAATAATAACACTGCTTTGCAGTGTTGGATAATTCTCTGTCCAACACTGATCATAGGATAATTCAGGTTAGAAGGAACCTCAGGAGGTCTCTAGGTCAACCTGCCCAAGGCATGGTCAGCTTTGAGGTCAGACCAGGTTGCACAGAGCTTTATTCCATCTGGTCTTGAAAACCTCCAAGGACAGAGCCTACAAAACCTCTGTGGTCCACAGTGCTTGACAGTCCTTCGGGTAAAAAGATTCTCCTTATATCTAATCAGAACTTCTTCTGTTTCAGTTTATGTGCTCATGATGGCAGGTGCAGGCACCATGAGAAGTTTGCCTCATGGCTTGGTCAGACAGAAATGGTTCAGCCCTGTGCCACAACAGGGATCGTGTACTGGCATGTGAAATTTGATTTCATGTTATAGGGATTCACAGTGCGCTCACTACCTGAGAAGCCTTTATTTTATTTGCAACATTATATATCTTCAGTTTAGAACTTGGCTGCGAATGACCAATATCAGGTATGTGTGTGCATGTGTGCACACACGCAGACGTACTCTCAGTCTTTCTCAAAACTCTGTATGTGTGGAGGTACATACTAGTAAAACACAGGTTGTTGTGATTTATAAAATCCTGGACCTACTTGAACAGTCTGTTTCTGGCAATCCATGCTCTAGTTTTTGGTATTTATGTACATTCTTCAAGTAGCAAATAATAAACAATATTTACATAAATACTGATTTCTGTTGTCTCCAAGGCAAATTTTCATACAGAATTATGTAGTTTTTAATGTAGAAATATGGGGTCATCTGATTTTCATTCAGTGAGAACTGACAGATCATGATCACACTGAAAGATAAAGCTTTAATTTGAAGAATTTGATTTGTATGTTGGAATTTGAAGTTAAATACTTCCTTCCTGCTCCCTCCAGATGCTCTCTTTTCAGCTGTGGAGAATTTTACAGAAGTTGCTGCTAGCTTTCATGACAGACTGCAACAAATAGATACCAATAAGTAAGTTTAACTCTTTTTTTCTTCCAGTCAAATACTCCATGTAGTCCTCTGAACTCAGAGGGCACAGACTTCACTTGCATTTAGTCCCCTGAATAACCTTGGTGGCAGATGACAGACAGTCATTTGTTTCACTGTAAATCCTTATGGACTCTTGTCTTTAAGGATCTGGTTACTCTAGGAAACAAAATATAGAAATGTTGAATTAGTGGACGTCAGACACTGCAGAGCCTGGAAATCTAGCATGTCAGCTTCAAAAAGTGTCCAGCTAATTAGTGTCAATTCTTGACAGGTTTTAGTTGAGGAGCAGTGCCAGAATGATACATGGATATAACTAGAATATTAGTTAGCATAAGCAGAGACAGCTCAGGTATGTAACTCCCTCTAAGCAGAGACACACAAGATTTTGTCACTGGATTATCATTAAAGGATGAATGTTGATTCGTAGTCTTCATTTGCCAGCACTCTAGTTTTCAAGATACTGGTAGCACTTATCGAAAAAAAAAAAAAAATAGCTATACCATGATTGTAGTTGTGGTAAGCTTTCTGATGAGCTTTCAAAAAATTCTGTACACCACCTATACCAAAAAGTCTAATTTGCATTTGACTAATTTGCACTTTCTTTGTAGGCCATGGCCAGAATGACAAACCAAACTTTCTTTTGTACATACATATATGTATGTTGCATTTCTTGGGAAGAATCTAATTTAGTCATTAGCTTACCATTATGGAAGACTAAGTAAGAATAAAAGCCATCTTTTTAATGGCAGCAACTTTCAAGATAAATGACTTAACAATAATTTCTTATGTAAAATATTACATTTATGATATATGACATATATGTGGCATTTTCAAAATGGTTTCATTGATGGATGGCCTAAATCTAAACTTTAATTCAACCAACCAATTTCGTTTCCCATTTACACCAATGTAAACTTGAAATAATTTCATTGGTGGTAGTTGAGTTACTCCAGCCTTACTGTGATAGAAGTTTTACCCTTTTTTTATTGGTGAATGCCTTCAAAGCTTTGCAATGTTAATTTGGATGTAAACTACCAAACCCACATATATTCAGTATAATCTTCACAGTTCTTTTATTTGTTAAGCATCAGTAGTATGCTCAGAGCCATTCAAAGCACACAGACACAGATGGTCTCTGCTCTAGGGAATTTACAATCTGCTGTCAGAAAAACACAATTCTTGGATGACTCAAAAGATGATTCTAACATCACGAGGTTCCTGTTTCTCAGATGTTGTGGTTTCACATAAAAATAAATGTGATTTTATTGAAGTAATTTGCAGCTGGCTGGCTTTGTGGAAAATAGGGTCTTCAGAAAGCTGTTGTACAAAGGAAAAGATGCAACATGATGCCTAAGCATTCTAATGAAAAGGAGATAAAGGAATCAGATGCAACATGAGAGGAAATACCTGAAAGTCTCTGTCTTCTTTGACACTATTCCTTGGCCTTTCAAAACAACTTTAAGAGACTTTCAGGTTATGAACCAGACTGTCTCACAGTAGAGATCAGCATAATTCTGTTTTGCAGGTTAGCTGGCTTTAGTGGGCTGTACAGTATCTTGGATCTACTGTCTTTCATAAATCAAGAGCTGTGTATACTGGGGCATGGGATGAAAGTGGGCCAAACACTGTGTAACTAACATATTCCTGTTTTCTTTTTAGCCTACTTGCTGTCAGATCACTAAATGATCAGCTCATGTTGCTAGAAAGGGCTTTCATTGATCCTCTTGGATTACCTGGCAGGCCATTCTATAGGTAAGAAAGGCTTATTTTTCACTTTCTGCCTGCAATACCTTATGAGAATTCCTCTGAGATTTACAGGTCTCTAGATGGAATTGTAATTATTTTATTCAACATGGTAAAAGTAGATTAAACAAGACAAATAAGATTGAAAAGGAAAAGCAACATTAGGGGAAATTTCAGTGAGATGCATTATACAGAATGAGGAAAAGTCTTGTTGGAAGCCTATGCAGATCAGTAAACCCATTTCTGTTGATTTCATTGGGCTTCTAAACTTATCTATAAGTTTGGCCCTGGACTCAGTTAAGTAATTTCAGTGATAAAGGATCTCTAGGAAGTTATTATTATTTGAAAGTGAAATAGAGTATAGCTGAAGTACCTGCAATTTGATCTATTATAGCAAACAGTCATGCAATGCTTCAACAGCAGTGGTCAATTTAGTAGTCCTCTCATCCATTTCAAGAAGTAAATCTTGTTTGAGAGGCATAACAGTCAAGTCTAACTTTTTGGTCCTTCTACCAGCCTGCATAATTCAGAACAGTAATGTTTCCACTAAAAAGCAACTGTAGAAGGACAACTTAATATCTACAGTCCTTTCACCTCTGATAGCTTTTGATTAAAAATCTGTGGAGAACAGTCTCTTGTTAAAGCATCAACTTTCCTACCTCAGAGCATACCTGTATCTGTTGGAGACTGTATATTTGTGAGAAAAGAAGCTGACTTTTTATCTCTCTATTTCATCTAACATGAGAGAAAGGTAAATACTTTAGTCAACTTCATCTCAAGTACTCTTAGCTATAAAGTTCTGCAATTCACATGGATAGTGTAGTTTATGCTATTTTCTTGCTTCGTAGATTATAAGTACTATTGCTGCAATAATCTAATTTATATACATCTTCAGTGTCAAGAATTTAACAGATGATACAGAAACAGATTAATTTTACCTTTTTTTTCCTAATATCTTCCTAATGCAGAATATTGGGGTGGGTTTTTTTTTCCCTCCAACTTCCCTACAGACATGTTATCTTTGCTCCAAGCAGCCATAACAAGTATGCAGGAGAATCATTCCCAGGGATCTACGATGCCATGTTTGACATTAAAAACAAAGCTGATCAACATGAAGCCTGGGAAGAAGTTAAGAAGCAGATTTCCATTGCAGCCTTCACTGTGCAGGCAGCAGCAGAAACACTGAAAGAAGTAGCTTAAATATCAACAACATAATCATCAATGAAGACTACATATGACAGTTTGCAGAAGCCTTAAAAACAGAGCATTTAAAAACACTAGGAGGATTATTACAGAAAAAGATATAAAGAACAGAAAATCAAAAAAGTCTTGTTCTTTGCAAACAATATACCCAAGTGGAATGAATTTAACAGTGTTAACTGTGTAATGCACCACACTCAGAGAGCTCAGGCTTTAGATATCTTCTGAAGTGAGAGTGAAAAACTTTCATGTTTTCTCTCAGCTTCATGTTTTAAAAATTACTAATCACTGGATTTATTTTCAGGGCTTTGAATTTTGCTAGCCTGATTATTATGGGAGTCTTCATTGTGTATCAGGAGACCAGAAGTCATTTCCTGTTTCTAATTTTTTGTTAACTTCTGATTATTTACCTTGCAGTTGCATAATTATACTCCAGGATGGCCCTTTCAGCTCTCCTTTTACACAAAGATTCATGTTATGAAGGTGGTAAAACTGTCACATACCGTGTGCAGGATGTATAATGATCATAACAAATTTTGGGCAGACAGCCCAGAATACTCATCCATAATGTTCTTCTTTCACATGCTGACTCTTGCAGCTGGTTGCAAATAAAAGGCAAGAAGCCACCTAAGTCACCAGAGTAAAATCAAGGCAATACATCTTGTCAGACATCATCTCACAGAACATGTCTTTTGAGATTAAGACCTACTTTTATTCTTTTATCCAAAATCTACCCCGGCTATGCCTCTTCCCATATTAAGGTATTTTTAATATGAAGACAACTAGAAGCAAAGATCATACCCTTAGTTTGAAAGTATACCAGATTATTACTGTCTTTGTAGAGTCTGTATTTCTAATTTTGGTGTGCAGTTTATTCCTATGACAGGCTGCTCAAAAGACTACTACCTACTTCATTGCTGCTGGCTGCTCCACTGCTCCTTTTGCCAGTGGAGAGTTTATTATGTTGGTCTACAAGCCACCTCTGGCAAAACGAGCCAGGTTAGTTTAGATCATCAGTTAGGTTGACCTAGAGGATTTTATCTGCAGTAATCAAGGCAATGATGATAATACAAATGCACCATTCAGAAAGGAGCAGCAATAAACAGCTTCTGTTAACTAGCTGAGTACAAAAAGTATTTTTCTATTGCTAAGGAGGATAAACTGAAGCACCAGACTCCAAAATTGGGATGATCTTTCCCTAAGTGACCTGTAAACTTTGTCAGCAAATTTTTCGCTCAGCCCAAAACACAATTTTTTAATCTCTGGCCTAACCATAGCATTATTCCATTTAAGTTTAATTAGAGCTCTTTTTGGCAATAGCTAGCAGATAATATGCAATGTCAGGGCTGAGGACCTCACAAAATACAGAGATAGTTACACTCTTAAACTACAGCAACATTCATTTTTAAAAAAAAAAATAATCTGGGCTTTCACCTAATCACTGCAGGGAACAGGGTATAGGAACAGAAGTTCTCCCTTTCCTATTGACTCTGTTCCCCTGCACACAAAAAACTCAAGGCTAACTAATCCAGAGAGAGGAAGCAACTGGTTGTAATGCAGTGGTTTACATGATGTTTTGGTAAAGTGGAATTCAAACTGTCCAGTGCCTTCTCACACATTTGGGTCTGCTTTGTGACCCATCTTTGTTCAGTGCAAACCACAACCTGTAGCATTTGAATTTGTAAAGCAAATGGAGCCTTGCTTAATTTTAAAATAATGTTTTAGATGGACTCAGTCCAACTTGTTCCCTAAGCCCTAACCCAGTCTCCTGTCAAAGAGATCTAAGACCCTATGCTCCATGCTGTCAATGAGGGTCTTTCCCCAACTCGCTTGTCAGCATGAAGCTTTTCTGAACTCCATTCTGAGAAGCCTAATACTTGGTGCTGACTTCTTTTGAGACAGCCACTGTGATTCTTATCCTTAGCTTATCCAGCATCATCTTTGGTGTTTCTGACCCTGCTACACAAAACCACCACAATTTACAAATTTGTTATGAGAAACCAGCACTCATTCTGGTTTTCCTCCATATACTGGGCTGCAACTTGTGCCTGTTCATCAGCATCTTCAAGAGGTGCTAAGACATCTTTGCATGTTTATCTGGGCCTTGCTGAGAGAGGGAAATACAGACAAGAGGTGGTAGGCAGGATGGGTATTCCATGGTAAGGTGTCTGTGCTTGTAAGTGTATACCTCAGACTCCTTCATTTCTGTGAGGAAGGAAGCACAGGTGTCTAGTTCTGCAAGCCCCAAGTTAGACAAGGTAGCACCTATCATTTAGACACATTATGGCCCATTCTAAAGTTCTTGATCAGTTTTTAAATTTAAAATAAAGATGCTTTTTAGTCTTCAAGAACTTCTATGCAAATTCTGGTAAGAACGTTCTTCTGACTAAATCATTTCTTACTGTCAGTCTTCCATGCAGTCTAGACAGAGCCACTGTAGCCCTCAGCTCCTCAGAGATTATTCCAGGCAGAAGTGGCTGGTGTTATTGCTGGACAGCAAAGGGCAAAGCTTATGTAGCTAATTACTGAAGCTACATGATCTGTAGTCAGCTGTCCAACTCATATGTCAAAATATATGCATGGATGCATATGCAACTGTCCATTTCCTATGTTTGTCACTAGGATTATGAGTTCTAAACAAAAAGCAAAAAATGAAACAATAGTTGTATATGCCTCGAGAAATGTCACTTCACATGACTCATTTACTAGGATGATACAAAGAAACAAGGGTCACATTTCACATTTATAATCAAATTTGGGCCAACTGACAAGTGCCAGGAAATGAAGACATCTAGTTTCTACCAAACAAGTGGGGAACAACGGTTAAATAAATAAGTAATATGTGTTAAAAGCACCGTCTGTTAATATGTTCTTGCAAACTTTGTAGCTGCGCTGAGAAACATTTCCAGTCCATTGATTTTTAGAGCTCAGAAAACTGTCTGAACCAGCCACATGTGCAGAGAGGTGGTATGCTATGGAGCAGTCTATTAAGAAAAGGCAGACAATTTGAAGCCAGCTACAGGAATAACTACTTTTTAAGCATCTGCATTTTTTATTAGATCTGCCAGGGTATCTCAGGGGCATACCTATTAGCTAACTCAAACCCTGACTGTCAAATCCTTTCCTACACAAGGAGTCAAGATAAGATTTGTGTGCTAATTCACCTTCAGCAAAGTAGAACTTTAAAGACTTTTTCTAGACTTCTACAGTGAGTTGAAATTTAACGCTGGCAAATGTTGTTGACCAGACAGATGATTTGGCTCTCAAGCTCTGATACTATTCCACAGTAATTGGCCAACAAGGACTGTTGAATTAAATAAAAAAAAAAAAAAAAATCAGTTGTTAACAGGAACAAAACCTAAAATCAACTTAGTATGTTGAATTTACAATTTATTCATCATCTAACCTGAGCCAGCTGTTCATGTAACCACAGGTGTTTTTAGCTAGAGATGGCCATTAGCAGAGCTGTTTACTATAATCAACTTTCAGTTCTTTTATTTTCTAAACATGCTGTAAGTAATACTTGGAAGAACTAAGATCCTAATGCCAGACAGCTCCTTGCAAACACTCATTTGGCTTTTACAGTTATTGCAGACAAACTCACCGAGTCATTGATTTATATACAGCAGCAGACCTAATTATAAGACAGGAGCTTTATAAGCATTTAGTAAGCAGAGGGAAGAACCTAGCTGGAACTGTGGCATTGTTGAGAGGATCCTTTCCAGTTTGAGCAATTTCATTAAAGAATCTGGAGGTGAAGTGAAAAAGTAGCAGCATTTTTTTAAGAAAGTACTTCCTATCATGATCATAAATTGGATGGTCTGAAAATTTTCCAAAGAAGTCCACACAATGACCATCCTAAATGAACATCTAAATTACTAACCAATATTGTTGAAATGTGTGTTGAAAAGATAGAAACTATACTTGTATTAAAATAAATGCTTGCTTTCATGAAACCAGCAATGTTAGTGTTTCTTTGGCTGGAAAGTCTGTTGACCTGGCGGCATAATTTCTAAATTAAGATGCTGTTGACACAGATCTTATTTCAAGTGTTGATTTAGCTGAGACAGAGAAATCGCAGGTAGTCAAGCTCTTTCAGATGGGACCTGTGCTCCTCTCTGCTTGTATGAGCAGTTTGAAATGTGCTGTCGGACTACACACAATACCGTCATGGAGCAGAGCAGCCAACTTTCACAGCTGGAGTCAGAATAAATTGTATTCTTTCACCTGATGGACAGCAGATCCCCAGGGCAGGGGATTGTAGTAAATGGAAGAATATCACACAATTATAGGATCATGGGGTTAGAAGAGAACTCACAACATCTCTAGTGCAAACTCCTGCTCAAAGCACAGTGAGCTCCAGGGTCAGGCCAGGTTGCACAGAGTTTTATCAAGTCCAGTCTTGAAAATCTCCGAGGATGGAGATCGCATAACATCTTTGTGCAACATATTCCAGTGCTTCACAGCCCTTATGATGGAAAAGCTTTTCCTTGTATCCAGACAAAACTGCGTTGTTTCAGTTTATGACTTGTTTTTCATCCTCTTGTCATGCACCACTGAAGAGGCTGGCTCTGTCTTCTTGAGAAACTTCTTGTACGTGATGGAAGATATTGTTTGATTTATGTTCAATGCATGGTCCTTTACTCTGCCTCACTAGGTACATTCCTCTTGTAGACGAAAGGGTCAAAGTTTGCAAGAGGAACTTGTCAGCTGACAGCAATGTAAACTTTATTTTAACTGGAGTCTGATAATGGACTCCTGAAGTTCAAGATAACAGAGACTCCGACTCAAAGCATCGAAAACTACTACTCTGTTAACCTAGTAGTCAGATAGACTGCAGAGGCCATGAGAGAGTTTTGGGGAACTGCAACTGGCAGAGTCAGAAGGAAACTACTCATTTGAAATTGCGGTTGAGTATTCCCCTGTTGCCATTTTCCTGCAAGAGCTGCCTTTCCCACGCACCAGGGCACTTTGATCTCTCTAGCCACAAGTTCAACCTTTGGTCAAACAACAGGCCAAGCAGCACAACAGTAGCATATCTTTCTTGCTGCTGATATTAACCTTTGGGGCCCAGTTGCTGAGCAGCTACAACCTACAGTTTACAAGCCCTGGGATTAATTCTGTGTATTTGTGTTTGTACTGTTTGTGATTTTGCTAATTGGCTGCATAGCATCATTATGCATTCAACAAACAAATGCCTGCTAGTTTTGCATTTGTCATGTGTATCTGCCATTTTTGGAGCTTTTCTAGTTTACCATGTTTGGGGGGTTTTTTGTTATGGTTTGGGGTTTGTTGTTTGGGGTTATTTTTTTTAACTAAGTAGATTATATATAGCTATCTACAAGTTCTGCTACCTTCAGCTGAACCTCACTCTTGTTTTCACTCTCAACATGTGCAATTCTCACTACTCCTGAGCTCAGTATGAGGCCTATGCTGTAACCAATAGTTTTCTTGCTAGTTTTAAAAGTGGTATTAATTTGAAGAAGTACTGTGTGTTCAGGAGTTTGTCTGTATTTTGTGCTTTTTTTCCAGTTTTGTCATCTGGTCTGAGAAAATAAATCTCTCCCCCTAATCTTTTCATGTTGCTTGTCTTGCATAATTTTTGCGACTACTTGGAACCGGTTTTATCTCCCATCAGCCTCAAGTATTAACGTTGATTACATTTAGGCTCTTAACGTTGATTACATTTAGGCTAAGATTGGTATTTTCAGCATTGAATAAAATACCCAACTATTCTCAGAGAAGCAGTCTTAGCAGTATCTCTCACGGATAGTAGAAGTGCTAGCAGGAAAAGCCCATGTAAAAGAATAGGGTGACTGACAGATGTGGTTTTGGTTTGGTCAGGAAGTTACTCAAAGAGAGATGAGTCTTATGGGATACTGATTATGTTAAAAGCTCTGAGCTCTCTCCTTGGCTGCTAAGTGAGATGCTCAGTAATAGCTAAGAATGAGATGAGGTTTGATTTGGAGCAGCTTTTTACACCTCCTCACAGATGTGATTTTGCATTCCAGGCATGCTGTAATTAAGACCTCACCATTATCAAGCTCATTTTAATCTGGCTTCAGTTGTTCTGAGGATCATTTGTAAGACATGATTCTACAACTTTGGCTTTGTGATTTAGTAATGTGTGTAGTGGGTTATTTAGGCCACATCCCAAGACGCAGGAAACAGTGAACATACAGGATAGATACTGCATTCCTTATGCTGCCTGTCTTGGAATTGGTAGTACCAGCAAAGAGCAGAAAGTAAAAGAAGTACAGGAAAAAAAGAGGGACATGAAAGGAGAAAAAAAAAAAACAACGCTAAAGAGAACCCTAGCTGGAAGCGTAAGCACTGAGGAAAATGGAAGCTGGTATATGAAGAGCTAGCTTTATTCCCCCTCCCTTCTTTTGCAAAACTTAGTTCTAGCTCCTCTTTGCTCTCTCCCCACATTCTTTAAGAAGCATCTGAATTTCTACACCATGTTCCCCCTTCCAAAAGGGAAGCCAACAGCATCTATAAATTTTGTTATGATAAAGCTGACTTTAAACTTCTGATCTCCTGGGTGAATGGTATTTATTTAGCCTTTATATGCTCTTTTTCTCATCTTCCCAGGAAGTGTGTAGATGAGATAGCCCAGGGATACTTTTGCAACATATGAACAAGCAATTTCAAATATCTGTGTATAAAATACATATGATCCAAGAGGGACAACAAAAATTCTCATGCAGTAACGTCACTCCATACACTGGCCTCCACAGCATACCAAGCTGATTCATAGAATAGAATGAGTTGGAACAGACTTCCAAAGATCATCTACTCCAACCCCCCCTGACATGGACAGGGACATCTTCAACTCAATCAGGTTGCTCAGAGCCCCGTCCAACCTGGCCTTGAATGTTTTCAGGGATGGGGCATCTACCACCTCTCTGGGCAACCTGTGCCAGTGTTTCACTGCCCTCATTGTAAAAAATTTCCTCCTTCTATTTAGTCTACACTCTTTTAGCTTAAAACCATTATCCCTTGTCCTATAACTACTATAACTACAGACCCTACTGAAAAGTCTGACCCCATCTTGTTTATAAGCCCCCTTTCAGTACTGGAAGGCCACAATAAGGTCTCTCTGGAGCCTTCCCTTCTCCAGGCTGAACAACCCCAACTCTCTCGGCCTGTCCTCACAGGAGAGCTGTTCCATCCCTCTGATCATCTTTGTGGCCTCCTCTGGACCCACTCTGACAGGTTCATGGAAGAAGCAGTAAATAATCCCTTATTCAGCTGGGAAAGAAGAATAAATATTCAATAATTTAGGGCTGGAAAGAAGCCAGAAATTCCAATTTATGAAAATATGAGGTTTCAGAATATGGCTTTCTTCAACATTGGAGTAGAACTACAACAGTTCATGAGAAAGAGACTAACTTATTTTCAAACAGTTGACAGCACAGTTGTTCAGTAATTTGCTCAAGCAATACATATGTGAGGTTCATTACTTTTCTATGCCTGATGAAGAGCATAATTTAAACATGACTGGGTGAGTTTTCAGGACAGGTTTATGAGACTGTCACTTTCTTTCCCAGTGAATATTTCACTCCTTTACAAGATTTGAAGTTTAGGAGAGAAAAAAATCAGCTCAGATTAGCCAATAATTAGAGCACCTCAACCTAGTCAGAATGACAATTTTTCACAGAGGACTTCACTTTCTGAGGGGAATGTTTTAACTCCAGGGCTCTTCTGAGTAACAAACTTTCCTGCCATTTGTATCAAACTCCCACTCCTGCTCTGGTATGTCTGAGCCATCACACAGTCAAGGAAACACAGAGAAACTGCTCAATCATTTCCATCAGTGCATGGGTCAGTCCAGGGCAGCCAAGATCTCTGTTTTTTTCCACCCCCTCAAGGAACCTCCTTATGAAGAGGAGGACGAGGAGGAGAAGGTGGTGGTGGAGGTGCTCCAGGTGCGGGAGTGGGTGTTGCCCTGCAGCCTGGGGGTGAGGCCATGGTGGAGGAGATCTCCAGGCTGCAGGCTGTGGAGGACCCCACCCCAGAGCAGCTGACATTTCCTGAATGAACTGCAGCCTGTGGAGAGCCCACACGGGAGCAGGGGAACAGTGGGAGGCGAAAGGAGCCACAGAGAGGGGCAGTTAGGTACTGATCATAATCCCCATTCCCCACCCCCTGTGCCGTGTGGGGTGGAGGTGTTGGAGGAGTCAGGAGTGATGGAGTGAAGGTCAACCTGGGATAAAAAGGTAGGGAAGCTGTTGTTTTAATTTTTGTCTTTGTTTCCTGCTATCCAAATCTATTTTAATTGTCAACAGATTAAATTAATTTTCCACATGTCAAGTCCATTTTGCCCATGACTGTAACTGGTTGACAATCTCTCTGTCTTTATCTCTAAACCACAAACATTTCCATCCTCTGTTCTTCTGTCCCACTGAGGAGGGGCAGTGAGTGAGCAGCGGGGTAAGGCTGTGGCCCTTAGCCAAGATTAACCTACCACAGCTGTGAATATATCTCATTCTTCCTCAACCTTGATCAGGACTATCATAAAATCTTCTTCAGCAGCACAAGATTTTTCATCTGCATCCCTTTTTGAAGCGGTATATGCAGAGAGATCATTTCAAATTCTGAGTGGTCACTTCTTTTAATGGGGTTAAGCATTTTGCATTGCTCAACAGCATTCATTAAGATCAGCTCTAGTTCAACATAATCTGCACTAAAAATAGAAAAAGAGGATAGAATAAGTTAAAATGACTTAAGCATATGAAATATAAGGCCCCCTGTATTGCTCATTCTTTTCACTGAACTTCTCTTGTCCATGCTAATATCCTAGTTATGTCCAAGACTCACTCTGTAATGAGAGGAAAAGAAACCCCACACTTCTAAGGTATAACCTGTTTCATTCTAAATCAATGCCTGAAGCAAAGCACCTGTTTCTCCTTACCGATTTCTGCAATAGGAAGCCTGCTTCAGAAGGTGGGGAATTGGCATTGTACATGTCTAAATGAGATGAATCTCACCTCTAATGCCTGTTTGGCCCATTCTGTGCTGGTTTGCCAGCACTTTTAACAGACATAATGCAACATATTCAGGGTCTCTAGGTCAGCCCACAAAAATTTAGTACTCTAGGTCATAAAAGAGCAGCAAATGAGATTTCCTTATATAGTCCCTTACATAGGAATTAAAAGGGTGCTATGCCAGTTCTCACAACATAGTCTGCCCAGAGACACCTGAATCACAGAAATCAGCTTACATGCTTTGGTAAAACTTAAGATTCTACTGTGATTTTGAGAAGTTACTAAGATATTAGTAAGCTACCAGTATTGTATTGCTGACATTGACTTAGATTTTAAATTTCTGAAAATTTGAGGGTGGTTTTAAATCTATATAATGAAAGATTGGAAAAAATCTTCAGTAAAAGTCTGCCCTGGATTGGATGCAGCCTGTGATAATATTTCAATCAAGAAATTCAGAATAGCAGCCACATGCATGGGTATGTGAATCTGTAAGAAATTCCATGGATAATGGATGTTTTCTGAGACAGATCAGGTAAGAAAATGAAAAGTTTTTCTTTGATGGCCTCAGATGAAAATTACCAGAGATCAAGCACAAAACATCCTCGTTGTGCTCTTGACATCAAACCTTGTTGTGAGGTCTGTGTGGAGCCCATATCACACAGAATGCCCTCGACATCCCTCCTCATCGGAGTGACTCTTGGCTCGTGACCTGCATGTTTCCATACTGCTCTGTGAGTGACTCCTCGATATGTTCTGAAACACGATCCCAGAGCACTCTCTGATCGGCTCTGAGCTTCCTTTAGATCAAGAAGGGCTCATATAGAACAATATGCAGATATGTAGAGACATCTCTGTATGTGTCTATGTGAGTGTACAAATGTGTACAAATATATACTTATTTATACATAGATACCCTTGACATGGATAATACATCTCTATATGTGTATATGTTGCACATTATATAGATTATATATATGCACCCACATATATCCATATCATAAGGCAATAAGGACAATAAGAAAAGGCCCAAAAGTCTTCCCCCACCCCCACCCCCCAAACCAGAAGAGCCAGCCAAGGGGTTCATACGTCAGAAATTTTATTTCGAGGTTGGTTTGTGTCGCGGAGCTCCCCCTGTCCAAGGCTGTGGGGAGGTTCCAGCCGCCTGTGGGGCCGTGGCAGGGTGCGGGCTGGGGCTGTGTGTGCTTCCTTGTCCTCAGGTCACGGGCTTGCAGAAAGCTGCAGAAATCTCCAGCCGCGTGGCTGAGGAGGGAGGGGATGGGAGTGTGCCAGGGTCTAGTCGCGTCCCTGTCTGGGCAGTAGGTACAAACAGCGGGAGCAGCCACCCTCAGTGACCGTGGGCACCCCCTGCCCAGGGCTCCCCAGCCTCAGGCCGGGACCATCAGTCCCCATCTCCCCAGCAGCCTGGAGACACCCGTCCTGGGGTGTCACGTCACCAACCCACCACCAGCCTGCTCCCACTGGGGCACGGCCACGACATTGCTGAGGCTGCTGCAGGAGCAGATAGCTCCAAAACGGCACCAGCCGGGTGTTATTTTGATTCCTTATCTTTCTGTCCTTGTGGAAGATCTCAGATCTCTCTGGCTGAGTGGCCAAGGACAGGGGTGCGCCCTGGTCCGGCCACGTCCTCTCTGGGGCCTCTGGCCCTGGAAGGCGAAGGAAGAGCAGGCACTGAGTGTGGCACCCCAGGCAGCCCCTGCCTCCCTGCCTGTGGCCCAGCTGTGCCCTTCCCTGCCCTCTTCCCTGGCCTCTCACCTCGGCCTTGGCTCACCCACCAGCTCGCCTCCAGCCTGGCTCTCCGCCCAGCCCTCGTCACCCCCCTGGGCCGGCTGTCCCCGACCCGCTGTGACACGGCCCCTGCCCACGTTCTGCTCTGGCAGAGCCACCCTAGAACCGGGGAGGGGCTGCCAGGGGCTGATGGACGGCCCAGCCCTCAGCTGCCCAGGGAAAAAGGGCTGTTGCTCCTCAGATTTACCCAGATGCAGTGGGCCAGATGATAACCCGGGCCTCTGAGGAAAACGGCCAACATGGAGAGCCCTCTGTGCTCCTGTCTGGGTGGGGACAGCCTGTCGCCCAGGGCTGCGACCACATCACAGCCCCCCATCGCCCCCAGCCCACCCCACCTCCCCTCGGCCTCCTCCTTGCTGTCAGGGCTGGGGCAGGGGGAGGTGGAGCCCACCATGAGGGTGCAGACAAATAAACGTGGTGTCTAAACACTGGGGAGCAGTTCAGGTCTTTGACATACCGACCTAGTGCCACTTGGGCTGTCAGAAAGCCTGATGTCCTATGAATAGACATGAAGTCAGCAGACTACTGGACCTGGGAAAAATGCATATCCACGTGGGACATACTAAGGCATCTGAAATTGCACTAAATACTTATTTTAATTCCAGTTTTATAGCCTGGAATTCCACTGGCTCAGTCTCTGGACAGTCGGCTCACACCTGCCTGCACAGAGCAGGATTCAGTCATCTGTACACAGGCTCTGCAGTGTCACTTCAGGGGTTGTGAGAAGTCTCCCCTGACCTGTAGCCGCTACCCCAGAGCAGGGCAGGCCTGATATAAATGCTGCCCTGTACTGGTTTGCTCTGTCTGGAGGTCTCGGACACTCTATGAGCTCCCAGGTGCCACTGGGTATTTTTCTGTTAGGAACTAAACACTCTCTGTACTGAATAATTGAAGTGCTCAAAGTTAGGTGTTAGTTAGCTCACTTCAGATATCCTAGGGCGTGATCCCAGGCGGCCTCCTGTGTCGTACATGGCAGCGCTATGGCACCGAGGAATCAGGAGTCAACAAGTAAAGGTAAGCTGTATAAATCGGGTGTGGTGTGGGAGAGGATGTTCTAATTTCTGTCTTTGTTTCTCACTACAAGTCTGTTTTAATTTCCAGTAAATTGAATTATTCTTCCCTAAGTCGAGTCTGTTTTGCCCATGACAGTAATTACCAAGTGATGTCCCTGTCTTTACCTCAACCCATGAGCTTTTCCATCTTAGTTCCTGCCTCTGTCCTGTTGTGGAGGGTGTATGATTCAAGGCATAGATTTATACTGTAAATTATGCTTTCATTTAAGTGGAACATATACTCCACCAGTGGCCAATCCATGAATATGCCACAACTAATAACTAATAGTACTAGGACTTTATTTTAAGTGGTAGAAGCCACTTGGTTGCTGCTATTGTTCAACCTCAGCATTTCTGATGCCCTTATCACTTTAAAAAGACATAGACGTAGAAATAAATATATTTCATACTTTCTCACTGCTGCTATACTTACCTTCTTCCTCCACTGATGTTATAATCATGTGATGCCTAATTTTAATAGCAATCTCCAAAAGCCCTTGTCACTTTACTGTCTATTATGTGCCAGTCCTACACCTGTGGTGCTATATAAATGCTAATAATACATCAATATGCTCATTCTTTATAAGTTCTGTAGGTGGAATTCCATCTGGTTTGTATATGTCAAGTGAGATGTTGGTGTGAAAAGTCCTTGCTGTTCAGAATTTGTGATGGCTTATGAGCAGTTGGGAAATGACAGAAAAAAAAAGATCACAAAACTGGACGTGCTTTTCATTTGAACAAGGACATCCAGACTTACGCTTAAGACAGTGGCTGTGACTGGTGCAGAATATCCAAGTGGTGTAATTCTTCTCTAAGATCTGCAAAGCTTTAGTGAAATAATTAGGACATTAAAGCGGTTTTTTTTCAGCTGTTTCTGAATATTTTCATCTCAACCAGGTATATTTAAGAAAGTTTTGATACTTGAAACACTGCCATTTCTTTCACAAAATGTATCCACTTGGGAATGATTGGTAAGAACTCAGATCATGTCCAAGCCCCAGAAAAGCTTTCCTGTCTTCTGCCAGATAACTGGTCTTAGATGGGCAGGTCCTCAGTTCCAGAAAGATCAGCCTTGGCTTCCATGTAGCCTTGCAGCAGCTCATCAGCAGGGAGTGATGTGCAGGGCTAAAGCAGGTCTGTACAAAATATGATGATTCTATGAAAATATCTTGACTATTCCCTGGGCTGAATATGGGTCCTTTCCCATGATACACTGATGGATTTCGCTGAATTATACCAGGAAAACTTGATCCTAGGAACCTTGTAATCCAAAATGTAAAAAAGCTAGAGAATATGGGAAATAGTTTTGCAATTTTTCCCAGCTGCAAATTGGATGACGTCTGGAAGTGTCCCCATTGGCTAATCTAAGTGGTATTCTGAACAGCTCTAAGTATTCATCATTTGCCAAGGATTAATACAACCACAGATTATAAAGGGGAGCCATTCAGTGCTTCCTTTGTAAGGGCAAAACAAGTTTTCCCTTCCTCCGTTTCATCTCTTGGACACTTCCACTGGAACAAATTCTAATTGTGATTAAGCCTAAAACAGGAACTTTCAAAACCAGAAAGTCCTGACAATGAATAGAAATTATCCTTTAAAATAGTATTTATGCATTGCTTCGTGCACAGTGTAAATGTACATTTGCTACAGAGATACACATACAGCTACACACAAACCGTCTTGTGGGGTGAGACAGAAATGAATGTTTTATTGAACTCAGAAAATCACTTTATCATCATCCTGGGATTAAGGCTGGTTAACCAGAACGAGAGCTGAGAAACACAGAAGCCAGGGTCAGCCCTGTGGCTGAGGGCGGGAAGAGGAGGAGAAGAGGGAGGAGGAGGAGGAGGAGGAGGAAGGCAGCTGCTTGTCTGCCCTCCTCGCAGCCTGCAAAGCTGCCGGCCACCGTTGCCCGTATGACCAGGAGCAAGGCCACCGCCTGCACATGGCTGAGCTGCCCCGGGCTGCTGGGCTGCTTCTTGCTGGGCTTTCTTGCAGGTGAGTACAGAGACACGGGGGCTCAGCCCGCAGCCTTTGCCCTCTCCGGATACTTGTGTGCAATCCCTGTTGTGATTAACTCCCCATCAGGGAGCTTTTACTGGGTTTTAGGGACATTTTAAAATACTTGTCCCACTGTTTTTGTAACAGGTTGCTATCTCTAGCAGTTTGGGTCTTTAGGGTGTGCTGTGTGCTTCAGCCCAAGATGAGCCCTGGTGAGTTGACAGCTTCCCGTAATGGGTAGTCAGATGTTGAAAGAGGAGAGATTAATAGAAGGGTTTAAGACTTCTGTGATTGCAAAACTGCAAGGATTATTTTTTATTTGTATTTCCTGATTTTTATTTAAATACTCCTTTTCAGTTACTATTTTAGAAATTAAGGGAAGAATGTACAGAAGGACTTTTGACCAACAGCCAAGAGTGGAGTTGCTGAATTTTTCATCATGAACTTTGCTAGAACATTAGATTCTTTTCTGCAGTCACTTGCAGCATTTTAAGTCCAGAGTTGCACATCTGTTTTAAACTTGTGTTGTAGCACGCACCTAAAGCTAAAACATGAAAGAAAAATCCATAAGGGCTATTAAATATAAAAAAAACATTAATTTGATTTAAGAGATCCCTGAACTGCAAATTTCTGGTGTTTGTGCTATTCTTATACTTTCCCTGAACATCCTCTTTTGGCCATGCTCCAAAACAGGATACTGGGCAAGATGGACTTTTGCTCTGATCCAGTACCATGGTTAAATTGAGTGTTACTACAATTGTATTTAAGGCAAACAAGTCGTAGATCTTGTGCAGGTGACAGCACATATACTTGGCTTGATTTTGACAATTTTCCCAGTTTGGGATTTTCTAACTATAATATCATTTGTTTCCTTGTTTGTTTGTTTAAAGACAAATTCATATAGTGGATATACTCTCTCCTTGCAGATTTATGGCTACTGAAAAATCTTTAACTTTTAAAAACTGACTTGGGTCACAGTTAACTTTCTTCCTTCACTTATTAAATAGACTAACCCCACCCTTCCCCAAATCTGTAACTATTATAATGCTGGCAGGCTGTCTGCTGACTCCTAGACCTTCACTTTAAATATGCTTATACACATATTTTAAAATATATATATTTAAATTAAATAAGGGAATTTAATCATGAGTATCAGGAATTCAATCTTCACCCTGAAAACACTTAATCGAGAATTTAAACTACAGTTTAATGAGATGAATCTGCCTTTAAAAGGGGACTGTATTTACCAGAGTTTTAGGGTGTACTCTTTTAACTATGTCACTTTTTTGGTAGTTCAGTCAATGAAGTATATTTTACTTTTTTGCTTCAATTCCATGTTTGAGCCAGCAAACACTGACAGAGGGTGCTCTAAGCCCTGTTCATCCTCATGGTTTTAATGAGACTGTTCAGTGCTTTAGGTTGCACATGAGTTTAAAATGTGAGGACTGGGGTTCTTGCTAAGCAACAAGCTTTTCAAATGTGTTTCAGGATGGTTTACAAAGCTGATCGAAAAACCCCCCAACTCTTCAGATGTCTATCAAAACGTGCGACAGAAACTTGTGGCTGAAATGAAAGCAGAAAACATCAAGCAATTCCTTCGGTAAGCCCTGCACATCTTGGGTTTTGAATAATTTTATCAGTCACAAAAGCCAGAAAGTGATAACATCAGCTCCAAGGAACAGCCTCTGAAAGCAGAGCTGTTAATATGCTTTGGAAGTATTTGGTTTGTACAGAATGTCTGGGGGGAAGGAGAAGGGAGAGACTCACAACCCTTCTGTTTCCCCCTCCCCATTTTTGAAGTTACCTTTTTGGAGTGGTTGTACTGTTAAGTGTACTTCCCTCAAGCTGCATTACTGCCAGAGCTTATCATGCTTTTTTATTATAATTTTCCATAGTCTTGATTTAATGCGGTATAAGTGTCTGGTTTTATTTCACACGTGTCGGGAGCTCTAACATTGGATAACTTTGCTTTGTCTCAGACTGAGATGATTTTACTGGATTTGAGATGCACTGATTGCTATTCATTACATTTTTTATATAATCTGTCCACTGTCTCCTTAAACCTTCAGTTTGAGCAGCTGGTCTAAATAGGAAATGAATATATTGAACACGTAGCATTAAAAATGCTACAAAGTTTGCATGGCACTGAGTTACATGTGTACTTAAAATTGATAATTCCTTTAACGTGTCCATGTTGGCTAATGTGCTGTTAATTGAGAGCTTGAGATCCCATTACACCCTGTCCGCTGATGAAGGTCCCTGTCCATGCACAGTGTGTGTGTGTATGGTTGGTTAAATCTTGCATGATGTAATTCTTATTAAATACACTTTTTTGCATCCATGAGGTCTCTTCAAGACATCTAAAACGCTGAGGATATGGAAATAATTGTTTTGCTGTGTATTCCACTGGAAACGAAAAAAAAAAAAAAAAAGTTCATATTTGTATCTTTCACAGAGGAACAGATATATTCACACAAAAAGTAAACAAATATAACCTCTGGTTAGTAATACATTGCTATTCAGCATGTAAGTCAGCAGCTGCATCACAAACATCAAAGGATTACTGAAGAATTTGACTTGTGTACATTTATTCTAAAACTGAAATTTCTCATTTCTAACATCAATTAGCCTTTTAAGTCTATAGGCCTTATCTTACTTTATATTTGTTGCTCTCAGTAGATTGGAGAGTTTTTTTAAGATTGTGTTTGAGTGAGAGTCTAGGCAACATGGAGACTGATGACAGCATGAAATAGCTCTGCAATTATGCTAAAGTTTCTTGGCCATAGGGTATTAATGGTATCTGTTTTGTCTGCTTGCTTTGATGATGGGCCAAATGCTTAATACTGTTTTGGGTTTTTTCTTAAATTTAAATAAAAAGCAGGAACTGCAGAAAAATTACATTAATACACTATCCAAAAAGTTTTTTAAAAGCATATAAAAATGTGAACTTAAGGATTTTGATCCATATTCTTACTTTTTCAGACTACTAAATCTACTTTTATCAAGTGGGTAAAACAAACTATGAGGTTCAGAAAATGCAGACACTTTAACCTTTAGCATTGAATCATAGCTCTGGAAAGGGTGAAACTATTTGGAAGTGAAAAACTGAAAAAAAAAGCATCATGTGTTCTTCAGTATATTATTCCTTATGGCATATGTAGTATTTAAACTTAATTTAAATGAATTAAAAGGCACTTAAAATACTCCAGAGAATTAAAGTGCATAAAGAAAACAGGCAACAAACTTTGGTAAAGGAACACGGTGCATACCTGCTCAGTTTTAAAGAGAGGGAAAGACAACAGCAGAGAGCAGATGGTTGTGGTCTACTTAGAGAATCTAGGTGCATTCAAATCCAGGGTGCCCAGGGGGGTTCACATGAAAGACCTGGATGTTATGATTGCAAAGCTGTTGTCGATGAGAAGTTCTGGTGATTGTAAGAAGTACCTGGTGGCTGAAAAAAGGCTGATGTGCCCATTTTTAAGTAAGGCAAGGACAGCCTGGGTGGGCCATGGGCTGCTCAGCTTTGCTTCAGTCCCTGGAATCTTTTTCCTGGAAGAGCCTTCTGGAATCTGTTTCCAAACACATGAAGGACACAAAGATAGTTAAGAACATTCAGCATATATTTGCCATTTGTTTATATGGTTAACATGATTGCCTTCTGTAAGGAAATGACTGCCTACATGGATGAGCGGGGCCATGGCAGTGGCTGTAACACCCTTGACTTTAACAAGGCTTTGGACGTTGTCTCCCACAACATTCTCATTTGGAAGCTGAGGGAGCACATACTGAAGAACAAGCTGTTACATGGGTTGAAAATAGTCTGAACTGACAGGTTGAAGTTCTACTAATCATGATATTTGGTACCACTAATTATTGGTAACGAATGGTATCTGACATTCATGGGGCAGCCTGCTGGGGATTCAAAGCTGGTGTTCAGTACCCACTGACTCATCAGAGTTCACCATAACTTGTTTGCTCAGTGGGTCAGTCAAATTGTAGTCAGATTTTTGTAGCCCAGAGGGGCTGGATATTGTTCCTATTTATCACCATTATGTGTTATATCTCACCTGGATGTAAGTGTTGTTAAGAAGGCTTTTATTATTCAGGCTTTTGATTAAGAAAAAAAGAATCTGTGCTGATAGTTTGACATAATGATTTTCATGTTAAACTTATTAGTTAATGTTATGCCAACAATGTATAAACCCAACATCAGATACTAGAATTATTTGAAGGGCTCCTTTCTGAATGTGTAGCTTTCCTGTATCTACTTCCCCTCCTTGCATGCTGTTCATATTCTTTTGCTGAATGTCTTTGACACTGATTTTCATTGCTTCTGTGTAGATGTGGCTATTTCTGTTATACAAAGAGAAAAGTTCAGCTGCCTTATCTTAAGGCCTCAGGAAAGATACTCTGCTCTGACTACATTTTGTGCTTATCCTGACGTGAACTGATAAACAAACATGTTACACAGCTCAGACTTTAACTATCAGTCCGTAGTTTTCATGCATGTGTCTTGAAGAGAAGCTTTATACACACTGATCCTAGTTCACTATTGTGCCTCGACATTTGCTGCTTACTCGCAGTTTTCTGTTTTATTCTAGCTCGTTTACCAAGTTGCCTCACCTCGCAGGAACTGAACAGAATCTTCTTCTTGCCAAACAAATTCAAGGCCAGTGGAAGGAATTTGGACTGGATTCAGCAGAACTTGTTCATTATGATGTGCTTCTTTCATACCCGAACGAAACGCAGCCAAACTACATCTCAATAATTGATGATCAAGGGAATGAGGTGATCTTTTTAATGATTAGACTATATTTATGTAAGACTTCTTTAAAGAAACAGTGTCTTCCTCTGTTTTCCCACTCACTCATCCCAGCATGTGCTTTATAATATCATAAAAAATCCAGCACAAAGGGAACTCTTATTTAGGAATGGCTTTCCCGACTGTGCAGCGGAACAGCAGAGTGGCAGAAGTCTCAGTGCCTCATACAGTAGAGAAAGGATCTGTGGAGAAGCTGCAGTTAACACCAATAAACCATAAGGTCTAAGCATGGCCATACTGGTTCAGATTAAGGATACATCTAGGCCAGTATCCTATTTACATAAGCAGCCTTAAGTGGATGCACAGGAAGTTTAAAAACAAAGAAATGTATTTAAGGCATGCAAATCTTCCAGTGTCTACCTGTTTTCATCTCAGTGGTTCTCTGAGCATGGTGCAATTAGTCTCTTTAAGAATCCTCATTAGACTTCTTTTCCAAGTTTATCCAGTTAGTGACCCTTCTTAGAGCTCTCTCCCAAGTACCTATCCAATCTCTGCTTGAACATCTGTACAATTTTTGCTTCCACAACATGCCGAGGTAAGGAATGCCACACAGATACTATTCATTGTATGAAGAACTACCTCCTTTCACTGGCTCTGAACATGATCCTACCAGCTTCCTGTGGTGTCTCCTAAGTATTAATAAACAGTCAGTCTACAGTCACCTTCTCCATTTTGTGCACACAGGGAAATAAAGATGTAGATGTAAAATCTGACAAGGAGTCTGAGCAAGGAGAAGAGACGGGACTGCTAGAGAAGCATCGTAGCACATAGGTAGGGATGAACAGCCCTGGTGGAAACTTAAGGAATATGTGCTCAGGGTCGACATGAGCTTAGAGGTGAAAGAATTAAGAAATTCTTCCAGAAATCCTGTAACAGTCTCTCAGCTATAATCTCACATGGTGACAAAGAGTGAACATGAACCTTGAGGAACAAGAGTGTTATAATACCTAGCAATAAAAGGCAGCACATTTAACTGGAGCATAACTAGCAAAGAGGTGAAGAATAATAATAATACAGGTGGGATTAATCACAAAAATTACCTGTGATGGCATGGATGAACTACATGTCTTTTATTGCCACCACTTGGTAATTTTCAGCTAATTCTTTGCTTAGGTTCAGGCAGTGACTGATGAGCATTTTCTGACAAGTGATTTATCTCTCTGTATTCATATCTACATTCCGTTATAAAAATTCAGCTATATATCCCTTGCTGTTTTTTTTTGTTTGAATTTATGCATGCTAGTTAGAATTGTATTTTTTGCTAACAGTTTATGGAAACTAGCATATCATTTGCAATAACCAAGCTTAGTGTACAAACTTGTGCTGGAGGTAGAGTGTTTGACCAGAGACTTCTGTTATTTATTGATAGATTTTCAATACATCATTGTTTGAACCACCTCCACGGGGGTATGAAAATGTTACTCATATACTACCACCATATAATGCTTTTTCAGCACAAGGAGTGCCAGAGGTAAGAAAAAAAAAAGTATGTAAGGGTATAATTAGCTGAAGTCATATTTTGTGAAACATTTGCTGGGATAGATTGCTTCAACTTCTCAAAATATTTGTTGTAGTAGTTTTAATTAATCATTAGTATGAAAGAACACTTAAGGACAGATAGGCCACTTATGATGTGACGGCTAGAAGTCTCCTATTAAAAAAAAAAAATAAAAAAAATTCTCAAATTGCTAGAATTCTGAATCACATAATAAGTGAAAAGCTTTTATCTTTATGGAAAATTTTGGATACATCTCAGATTACTCCACATTGCTCAGTCATATGAAGAAGACTTGCATAAATCTTAAGTAGAAATAGTAATATATAAATCAATTTGGAAGACATTTAGGATTAAGTGACTGTCTTCAAAGGCGACAAAACTTGTTTACTTCATCTGATAATTCATCATGGAGGAACAAGTCAGGAAGAACTTTGCATTGCAGAAACGAATGAAATTGTATAGTAGTGAGTGTTTGTGTCTGCAAGGAATACCACTGTTTTTTCATGGCCACAGAAGTTTGTCAGTTTAGCAAAGTATGTTAGTTTAGTGTCCAACCTCAGTTTGTAGGACTGATGTTAAGGGTGGGATCATATGGAGAGGTCAGCAGTTTGAGCCAAGGCTTCCTGTAGAATATTATGGATACCTTTTGCTATTGTTTGTAGAAATGCAAAAAAATAACTATAGAGTACACAGTGAATGAAACTCTGTATTTCTGAAAACAGATGTTTCGCTTGCTGAAAGACCAGTTGCCATAAAACTGCTTTTGTTTTCTGTGCAGGCAGATCTGGTATATGTGAACTATGGCCGTACCGAAGATTTTTTTAAGCTGGAGCGTGAAATGGGAATTAACTGTATAGGAAAGATTGTCATTGCCAGATATGGGAAGATCTTCAGAGGAAACAAAGTAAGGGTTGTGTTTTATGTTTTCCCTCAGTAGGTCAGGCATTGCTCATGGTATTGTTGGTGGGAATTAATGTGGGCAGTAAGTTGCAATATATGAGCAGAAGGAAGTCAGCAATGTATCCATTGTGACTGCATTCTAAGAATAACTTCCAAAACAAGAAAAACATGAATGTATTAATCTCCTGAGACTGTGATGAATGCAAACTCCTTAGGCAGATCTTGCAAGAAAAAGGTTTGTTTAGCAAACTGACTAGTTTGTAGAGCCAAGGCTTTTAATGCTTTTCATCCATAGGACTGCAGTATTTTGAAGAAGTAAGTATTTGACAAGGAGTCTGATACATGGAGATTGCATAACTAACTCTTCTGACTTCAGGTAACAACTCTGACAGAATTGGTGATGGTGGAACAGTGGGGATAGTGGTCAGTTTTTGTTTCCTGTGCTTTATTTTGTGGCCTTGAACTATGACTAAAGGCATGACACAAATAATGAACGCACAGGGTTTCACAGTGGTTTGTTCTGCTGAGTCTATGGTCACTCTTCCAAATATACAGCTTCCAAAGATGTGTCCCCATGGAAGTAAATTGCAACATTCAGATTTATTACTGCATTTAAAAAAAACAAAACAAACAAACAACAAAAAAACCCAAACAAAAAAAAAAAAAACAAAACAAAAAAACCAAACCAAAATCAGGCTTTTTTAAAAAGAAAATAATTTCACAGGTTAAAAATGCCATATTAGCAGGAGCCCAAGGGATCATACTTTATTCGGACCCTGCTGACTACTGCGCCCCAGGAGTAGATGCTTATCCAGATGGCTGGAACCTTCCAGGTGGAGGAGCCCAGCGTGGGAACGTGCTAAACCTGAACGGAGCTGGGGACCCTCTAACACCAGGTTATCCGGCAAAAGGTGAAAGAAATACCTATACACTGGGCCATCAAGTACTTTATAATATGGTGATGAAATTTATTGTGGCACTAGAAATTATCTATTTTCAGTACAGAAAATACATTCAATGAAATAAGCTGCTTAAAAATATTTTTAGCAGTAGTTAATTTTCCTATTGCAATTCAAGTTCTACCTGTATGTCATTTCAACTGGTTGCTTTTGAGTTAAGCAGGGAAAGCAAGTTCTTAGGAAAAACCCTATTATCTCAGCCTTGAAACTCTTAGAAAATGGCTGAGAATTTATAGCAATTTTTAAATTTCTGTGTTTCTGAAGAGGACTGCTTTAAACTAGTTTATAGTCTACCATCAAAGAGGAGTAATACCTCTGACTGGAGGTATGTTTCCTTGCTGGTCCTAAATTACAAGCAGAAAAACAGTTTAAAATGCTGTTTACAGGGATTAAATTTTCTGTAGTAAAAATAACAATAACTTGTAGTCTTCAAAAACCTGGCATCATGTGCTTGTCTTGTCCTTGTAGGCATCCTGAACTCAATCTGAACTAAAATGCCTACTAGTCCTGCCTGCTGATGGGGTGGGAATACAGGGGTGCTTCTGGAAAGCTCACTGGCTCGTGTGACCATTGTTAGGGGCAAAAGACAGCCTACTGAAAAAAACAGGATAGATTCTGTGTGCCTCACCCACCAGGTTTAGAGACACTGACTGTCTTCAACACAGGTAAATGCATCCGTGGATGTCTTCTGCAACTTGCCAACAGGCTGCACAGGGACTGTCTTCACCTCACAACACCAGCTTGGTTATCCCACAGCCAGCTTTCAGGAGGTGTAATGATATGGATGGACAGCAAATCTAGCCTTGCATCGAATGTGGGGTCTTCTCTTACACTGTTATGCAGATACATTAATGCATTTGTGGTTCTGTCATTAATTTTTTGTTTCCTAGAAGCAATATCTAAGAAATTATGTTAGAATTAAAAAAATGATGCATGCTTGTGGCTACTGAGTGGCTGCACTGTTCAAACATATTTCCAGTTTGGTGAAAGTTTCTAAGAAAACTATAAACTTGACATTTTGTTCTGGTTTCTCAGAGTACACTTTCAGGTATAAAGTTAATGAAGGTGTAGGGATTCCCAAAATCCCAGTTCATCCCATTGGATATCATGATGCGGAAGTATTATTACGGTGAGTATACATCATTCCTCCTCACCAGAAGTCAGTATTCACAAATGTGCAGCAAAAGTATTTACATTAAGATGGTAAAATCCATGCTGGTATTTATTGATCTCAATCGCGGCAGTGTGTGCTTCAGGAAATGTAGATAATTCAAAGCAATCTGTTTCTGGCATAATGTTTTTAAGAATTTTGCAAACCCACCTTGTTTTAGGTGCAATAATCATTAAGGGATTTTAAGGTTTTAGCCTGCTGGTCAACTACATTTTTCTTGGTTTTCACTTAACAGAGCAATGGGAGGACCCGCAGCTCCAGACAGCAGCTGGAAGGGAAGCCTCAATGTGTCTTATAACATAGGGCCAGGATTTGCAGAGAATTCTTCTGCAAGGTCTGTTTTAACATTTGCCTATTTATAAAATATTAAAATATATAAAAAAAATATTAAAAAAAAAAATCTCAGCAAGAAAGACTGTTAAACAATACATCGAGAGATATTCTGGAGAAATTTACTTCTATCTGAGTGGGCAACACTTGGTGATAATTGTTAGAATTTGGAAATAAATTATCAAAACTATGGTCAATGGATGGACAGATTCAGAGGGTATAGGTTTTATCCTTACGTTAAGGTTCAGACGTTGTTTCACTGGTCCTTTCCAAAATGGCTATATATCGGTAAGAAGACATTTTTTAATACTGTTAATCCTAAACTTCCTCCCCACTTCAAGTTTGGTCTTTCTTTTCTGTTTCTGATGACCAAGGGGACAATAGGACAGCCAGTTTGTACCAGTCCAACAGGGAAGGACTGACAATTCCGTAGTTCTCTTCCGCATATGTTTCCTTTGTCTCCTAGCAGCCTCCCAGGGTTTCTGTGACCTTAGAGCTGTGAAGTGTGGCAATGATTTGGGAGTCCATCAAGCGTTCCCCAAAGCTGGGAGACCCCATGTTTGAAAGTCCTGAACAACAGGACATAAGAGTCCAATGCACATATATCTTACTAAGTTGTTTGGGTGGAACTGGCCTTTGACCAGTTGGAATAGCAATAGTATGTTTGTGGTTATGTTTTTTTCAGCTCTAACAGAGAAATACAACTGTCCAGGTCTCTAGTGCTACTAACAGAGTCGCTCTCTAGCAGACCAAGACACATAACAATTGCATTTGGCCATCAGGGCTCTCTCCATGACTGGCTCTCAGGGACAGTCATAGCATTCTTCCTTTTTATAACTGATAAGCTGCAATCGATAAAGCTGAAGACCACTTTTCTATCCCTTTTTCACATAATACTTTCCATTTTCATCAGAAATTATTCTATGAGGACTAGTAGTGAACCACAATGAACAGTATAAAAATGGTGTATCATTATCACCGCCCCACCTCCTGCAGAAGAAGAGTGTGTCTGAATATATCATTTTAGAAAGACTTCATTGATCATTATTCATTTCTGCTCTGCTTAACACTAGTTGAAAATGAATAAAATAGGGCTAAATAAATAAGAAAGCATATTTGACATAATTAAGGTGTTGTTTGGAATGTCTTGAAGAGCAACAGTGAGAAAAGAAACAATATGATTCATCCACAAAACATACACATAGGAAATATTTTTGAATGCAGTTTTTAACATCTTCCTACTTGATAGGGTAACAGTTTTTGTAAATATGGGCTATTGCTAGATATACTTTTTTCTCAGAGTATCTCCATGTCAAAATGAACCTTCTGAGTCTGGGTAGAAAGTCACTTGCACATGGAAAGTGCAAGTATATGCATGCTCAAGGCAGTGGTGTCAGTTATTTTCTGGGCAAAGATCCAGTAGCCGTCCTGAAGTAGGTTTTGATTTTGACAGCTATGCAGATTTGCTGCTGAAAAGATAACTTCAAATGTGAAACTCTTGGGGTTTTGCCAGACACAAGAAAAGCACTGTTTGATGCATTCTTTCTTCTACAGGTTAAGAGGGGCTGAATACTACATTATTTTTAGTTCTCTTAATACCTGAATTTCCTTCCTTTTTATAAAATTTCACAAGCAGATTTTACAGGGGGTGTAGGGATGGAGGGTTGGCAAATCTTCATCACTTAGATCTGCTGTCCTAAACAGACATTTCAATTTATTCCTGGATGAATATTTCTAATTACCTTCTCTGCAAGTTCTGCCTTATTACACATAATTGTGCTAGAAAACCAAAGTGTATTCTTTATAAAAACATGTATGTCCACAGTTATAATTTTGGTGAAGATATAAAACTATTTTTAATTACTGTATATGCTTTTCAATTTACTCCTCTAATTATCTGATTGACTCCCATAAGTAACAATTCAATAAATTCTGTAAATGCAGGTTTATAGATTGCCTGCTTCATAGGGTTGTTTTTCTTTCTGTCAGCAGGTTAACATGAAAAAAAAAAAAAGGGACACTCATACAGCATGACAGGTTAGATCAGTGCCGAACACACAAAGCAGAACAGAAACATAAACTTTCTGTCTTATGAGTTATTAACATTGACTTTTTATTGCCTTCTCAGTCAGAAATTGTTACTTCATATTGCTTTTCATTTCAGAAAAGTCAGAATGCATGTTCATACAAACAATAAAATAACACGAATTTACAATGTCATTGGCATCCTCAGAGGAGCTGTGGAACCAGGTGAGCATCGTGTGCTTTTAATTCCTTCTTCAATTTTAATTTTAATTCCTTCTTTATTTGTGTTTGGTGAAACCTCAAGTTTTTTAGATAGTCAGATAATATGGAATCTGAGAAACCCTTAATAGTTGTCCTGTTCCTCCCATCACACTGTTTTTCATTGGCATTGGCATAGAATGATAGATGTCAGAGAATTTTTTTACACTGCCTGTTATTTTACAGTAGATTTCTCCTTACATCATCCATACAATTTGCCTTTGCAAAAATTAACCCAATGTAAAGTACAGAAAGCTAGTGATGATTTCAGACCTCAACATACTATTGTTGATACTTAATAGCAGGTTGTATACATGAAAGACTTTTAAGGCAAAAAAATATGTATAAAACATTTCTTGCCTTCATTTATATACTTCAGTAGAGTAAGTGAATGATTGCAGATTACCTTAAAAATACATTTGTAGCATTGCTATTAAGCTTCGTATTTTGTTTGAAGGGGATTCAATCGAAGTAGGGCTTCAATCAAAGGAAATACAGGTAACCTAAATGCATTTTTAATTAAGGATTGATATTATATGTTTGTTTCCAGATAGATATGTTATTTTAGGAGGTCATAGAGACTCTTGGGTATTTGGTGGTATCGATCCAACTACGGGTGCAGCTGTTCTACAAGAGGTTGTACGGAGTTTTGGTAAAATGAAGAAGGAAGGTAACCTTACAGACATAAAATGATGGATATGGAAAACAGCAGCTTTGAGGAACTGTGTTGCATGTTTCCACAAGCAGTTGTGTTGATTTAACTTTTAACCTCTACAGAAAGTTATATTTCTTATGATGAAATATGCAAATTAATTGAAGAGATGCATATGTGGCATTGCATCTTAGTTGGCTGAATTTATTCTCTTACATTTCTCATCAGTGTAATAGTATCCTCTTAGTTGTGTAGAATGAAAATATTTCATTAAGAAGAAATGCCTCTGCAATAATACATTCATCTAAGGAGTTTAGAGAGTATTTTTTATGGCTATATCAAAAAGTACTATTTTTTAAAAGTGATTTCAATCAACTGTGGTGATCTTTCACTAGACTTTATAACTTTAAGTTGACTTTCAAGTTTAACTATGTGATTGCAGGTTGGAGACCTAAGCGGACTATTATTTTTGCTAGCTGGGATGCAGAAGAATTTGGATTATTGGGTTCCACGGAATGGGCTGAGGTAAGTAAAAAAATAGTGTAAAGAAAGCAAAACTTGAAAGTCTGTTGTAGGCAGCTGCAATACCCTGTGGCATCTATTCGTAGACTGCAATCAATAGTTCGAGGTAAAATTGGAGCACAACAGACTCCTTCAGGTGCTGTGAGACCCTCGTATAACTATACGAATTACCTACCTAACGTCTTACATCATAAGTGCACAACCTCTTCTAAGATTTAAAAATCTACTTTAATTCAAAGCTAATGTCCCTCAGTGGTCGCTATGTGGAAATCTACCCCTTCATTTAACAGAATGATAGCATTTTATAGAACCTAAATTGGTTTACTTTCTAACTTTCTACTCAAAAAATTCCTTACTTTCCATAAACTAAAGCCCAGATAATGTACCTTTGATCCATAAGCACACTAAGCCCTATGTGTAGAAACTAGTCCTTCTGGGCAAATGAAAGAGTAAGTAATCTGTGAGTGAATAGTTTCAAATTCCTGTGAAACCTCCAGTATTGTAGAGTTTCAGGGGCAGGACAATTGATTAATTCTGTAGCGGGATCCCTGACTATATTCCTGCCTGATAGAAGGATGTTGAGAAATTCACAGGTGAGGTTCTGAACGTTTTTCTCTTCCTTTCCCTGTTGGGCATGTTGAGTTCTTAACCCTGTGAGTGGATTTGTTCAGCCCCAGTAAGAAATATAGGTCTTACAAGAGTTTTCATTCCTTTGTCTGTAAAATCCAAATTAAAAATAGAGCAGGCAGAAAACTGTCAGATGAAACATTTCTGCTGAATTATGTCAACTTATTAGTACTGAGTAGTTTAACAGAAATTTATAGTCTTGTCTCTTGTTCTTCTGTTAGAATTTTATTTACAAGACTGTATTTAAATATGTTGACAGGTTTTAAAATCTATATATAAAAAAAAATCTTTTTATTTTAGTTTATTGGCAGGCATTTCAGTAAACCACAAAATTACATAGCAAAATGACACGTGTCAGAAGAGGTAACAAAACCAGAAATATGCTCCCAAACACCAAAGGGACTCCATCATTCTGTTAGCAAAGCTGAGGTTTCTGTTGCTTTGGATTTGCACTAATTCTTTCTCGCATAAACGGTTTGGCTTCCAGCTGCAATAGACTCTCTGCATCTTACTCTTGGTTTATGGGACATTAGATGAAGAAAACACAATTTAAATTATCTTTAAAATCACTGAGAGATTTAAAAATTTACTTTAAATTTTACTGAGATATTTTAAAGAGTTCTCTTTAAATTTTCTTCCCAACTGAACTCCACTGGTAACAAAAGTATACTGCATATAAAACTTTATTTGTGATTTCTTTGTCTGTGTATCTGTGCACATATTTAGATACTGTCAAGAAAAACACACAACTGTTTTAACTATGAGGAATATGAAACAATGATACTTAAAAGATCCATTTCTCTTGAGCAAGCCATGAATAAATTAGTTCTTTTGTTTGATTTGTTCACATATTGCTACTGTTGTTCTGTAATGTTTTTTGTTTAATAATTTAAAATCTAGTAATCTATCATCCATTACTTCATGAAACAGCAGCTGTACTAGATTAGAAAGCCATGAGCACAATTTATATTTGAACCTCAATTTTTTAATATTATTGTTTTATTGTTTTATCTTGGTGGCATGCATCCCTACTCTTTTACACCTAAATTATACTCAGTTTCTCTAGAGGCATTCCTCACAGCTTACATTTATGTTTTCTGCAGCTGCCAGATGTCACATACTAAATCTTGAGGAAAATTAACCCATGATATTCACCATCTTCTCATTAATAAAAAGACTCTGCAACTGCGTCAACATCCTTTTGTTATGTAGACAATCTCCGTTGCTCCTAAATGAAGGAATTTCTTAATGCTTTTGCATATATACAAGGCCTCATGTATGCATACACAGGCTTGCTCCCTCCTTTCATATTCTTTTGCAAGATCTCCTCTACAGTTTGTTTTAATGATATTAATTTCATTATGAAGTTATCAATTACCGATTCCATTTTTAGTTCACATGACTTACAAATGATTAGTTGGGTTATAAATTGAATGAATCAAGTAACAATTACTAACCTAATTAGAATATCTATCACAAAGCCAAGACTTAGTAAAATACCACTTACTGATTAGAATATCAATTTCAAACATAATTACCAGTTTGCAAAAAATCAAACAAGTGTGTGTATATATTTAGCATAAAAGCAATGCTGGTTGAGTCAAAACATTCAGATTCATTTTTATAGGAAGTGTCAGTGTTCTGACATCCCTTTTGAAATGAAAGAGTGTAGAAATGACAACAATACTCGGTTTACAAGTGTTAAAATTGAGTTCATTGCTGGGAGCTCACATGCATAACTAGGGATTAAAAGCGTGGAGGAATTCTGACTGACCTCACAGTCACATGTTGAATGTTCAAAAAGGTCTGCAAGTACAGAATTAAAACACACATATAACCTTAATTCACCCTGTTAGAATGTTGTTCAGTCATTTTCCCGTTCCATCTTGCTTCTGTGAGATGCAGTGGGAAGCTCCCACATTTTGTGAATGTCTTCCACAACAAAGTAAGTTCCAGAAAGCAGGAGTGAATTTCACATGCCTAGATCACTGACCCATCCTCAAACATTAATATAATTAGTAAGGTATGTAGTGCTGCTTACCCTGACAGGGTTCTTAAAGGTAATGCTGTAAAACCCACTGCACTTAACATGATCTTGACTAAATGTCACTAACTGAAAATAATAATTACACTTTTACAACCACAGGAAAATGCCAGAATCCTCCAGGAACGGGCAGTTGCTTACATCAACACAGATTCTTCTATAGAAGGTGTGTCTTTTATTTTTAAACTCACTTTACCTCACAGATGTAAATTTTCATAGTTCACTGTATATTTCTTATTGCATCCAGAGCTGGCAAATGTAAGATAGATAATGTGATGTTCAGAATAAGTGTAGTAAATACAGAATTAAGTTGAAAGAGTGAAAAATTTAAATTCTCATTTTGCTTTCTTGTTGCAAATAGTGCCATCCATGAGCTGCAGCCCACAAGTCTGGAGTCCAGAATGTCTCCTTTGAAGGAGTTTAGTATTCTGTGCTGATGATCTGAGAGGTCTGAATATTAAACTCTCTCTTAACTGCATTAGCTTTAATTTATAATTGTAGGTTTAATATATGACATATTGCTCCTTGTTCTGATTGCAGCTCCAGCTCCTTTCCCTGTAGAATTATAATATTTTGGGACACTAATTGATTACAATCTTAAGACAATTTGTGTCAAGAACTTATTTTGTGAGGGTGGCACCCATTTTGGTGCTTCAGGCCATTGTGGTCACCCTGTTCATTGCTGTGAGCTGAGACACTATGCAGGGAGTTATGCATTGTGGCAGGGCTGTTCTAGAAAAATAAGTGCTGTTTCACAAAAAAAAGCTGATCCATCATTATCCAATTTACTATGCCACTCAGATTATGAGATTCCTGTCATACAGGAATGCTGCTTAGAAACTGGACTTCCAATTTTGGGCCCAACATTATGTCCTAATTCACAAAATACTTCTTAAATTATACCGAGATTTGTTACAGAAGGACTTAATTTATTGTTGTCTATGATAAAATAATAGTCAGTAGCATCCTGTGAAGCAGTCCTGCATCATAACCTCAGTTATTCAGGACATTGCTCTTTCCATGTTAAACCCAACTTATTTGGTCTTACTGTGTGTGAATGAAGTGGATATCAACAGGCATACTTAAGAACTTTTTTTTTTTTTTTTTTTTCCTGTCAGCTGAAAATTTTGTCTGTCACAAAAGGATAAGAAAGAAAGAAAGAAAGAAAAGCCAAAGCCAGTTTCTAAATGCTCAGTTGGAGTTGGGGTATAGGGAAGCTTAGAGCTGTTCTTCAATTATGCAGCCTACATGCTGTGTAAAAAGTAGAGCAGAATTTCACGCCTAGAAGATCTCACCAATGAAATAATAGCTTTACAACTGCTTCATATTCTCAGCATGGGTTGTAACACATATTTTTTAGTTGGTTTGCAGCCAACATGCTGCTGCCTTAACAATTTTCTTCTAAATCTTGATTATTCAAACATGTCTCTTGATTTATGCATTAAAGAAAATGTGAAAGTAAAACCACTGGAAAAGGAATATGTAATAAGGAGAAGAACATCATATTTAGTGTACTGTTTTAAGTATGTTGGACTTCTTTCATCTAACTGAGCATTAAAATCTCCTGTAGAGCCGTAGCATCCATGTACTCGGCTGATTATTTTATCATCATACATTCTCCACAGCACTTCTTATGCCACATTTTGGACAGTGAAATATTTCTATTCATTGTCCTTTAACAATGAAGAGAATAGTGGGTCACCCTTTTGAGCATTTTTGTGACTTTAATTTCCAGTTCTCAAATATAGACTCTCCTCAGAAACATCATTGACTTTATCTAGTATTTTTTCCATCATCATGGGGTTTTCTGTAATTGTCAGTCTAGTTTTCTTGTGAGTACACTCTGTGCAAAGGATGACCCAAAGGTCTAAAGCCATATCAAAGCCTAATAACTGTGTTTTCTGAGAGTTTATGTTTTATTATGCCCCAGCCTTCTCATCCCTCCTTCCTTCTTTGCTGTTTTCTGTATTTGAGGGCAGAGGTGTTTGCCCAGGTCCTGTCTGGTGGCTGCAGTCTGTAGAGAAGACAGTTTTACATTCCTGCCTGCCTCAGAAGTGGTGATAGTTTCTTTTCAATGGGGCTCTTGCTGCTGTAACTGACAACTTCAGTATGAGATATTTACCTAGCTCAACATAGCTCACAGGCAGTGTGGAAACCTTGTGCATGTAAACTGTAGGAGTCACAGCATGGGGGTAAAAGGGGAGGTTTAGGACACAGTAGAGGAAAACATTACTCTGCATCTTTGTTGCCTCCTGTTTGGGTTAGACTTATTTCTGAAATATAAAATGCCAGATGTCTCGCAAGTCTCTTTCTTACTCAGAAAATGACCTGTCTTTCACATACAGTCTTGCAAAAATATTGAAAAAGTACTCTTTATGATAAGAGAATAAGCAATGGCATTGAAAGTCTTCTTAAAACATCTTGAAGGGAATATGTCTTTCCTCCTGCACGGTTCCTGAACGCACTATTTTTAACAACCTACAAGAAGTAGGATGGTGCCATTGCCTTCTGTTTAACACAAGCTTCGAGGAGCATGTGAGTGAGACGGATTTGTAGCTAATGAGGGATAGTTAGTTGTATTTTAGAACTATGAGAAGGCTTAATTACACAGCGTATATCTACTACAACCAGTGGATCAGTCATATAGTAGCAGTAGCTTATACAATGTGACCAAGTAGTCTACTTCTGTATATATTCTGAGAAGTTCTAAAGTCTTGCCTTGGAGTCAAGAAGTTTATCTAAGAAAGGACTATAGGGTTTAATCCATTAAGAAGATAATGCCACTTGTATGTGGAGGGAAAATTTCCTTGTCTTTGTTTCATTTTCAGGTAACTACACATTAAGAGTTGACTGCACCCCTCTTCTCTACAAACTGGTGTATAATCTGACAAAAGAGGTACAGATCAGAGTGTCTATTCATGACTTCCTAAGAATGTAAAACTGCAAATTTATTGCACAAAATTCGATTATTGAATAATATGGGATTTAATTTATTGCTGTGCTGGAAGAATCTTAATCCCACACAAATCAATAGCAAACATCCCATCAGTGGTACACAGTCGAGGCTCACTGTTCCTCAGTATTCTTAGAAAGGTTGAAATGTGTCACTGATGTAAGTGGAATAGTATTTGCAATATATAGTAAAAATAATAATAATATAACCAAGATAATAAGACACTTGAGCAGGATCATTTCTCTAAAGTGAAAAGTATTTGAGGATATAAATTGCATTTTAAATTTCCATTTCATGTGCAAAAGAGAACTTATTAATTTTTATGTTGGCTGGCTACCATTTTCTCTCTGTTTATTTCCCCTTCATATCTGGTTAGCCCCCTGAAGTACTGTGATAAATATTGAAGGACTGAGAGGGTTTTGTAACAGGTCAGATGTATGGATTTGCATGATTACAAGTGTCTAATCATGTCTCCTTTGCTTTCACCTCTCAGGATGAATTATCATAAGGCTGAAAGATTGTGGTCCATTAAAGCATGAAACTTCATTGGCCATATGAGAAGTTAAGCACATTAGACAACTAGCATGAGCCATTGTCACTACCCTTAGATATGGATTCATCTCAATTAACAGAAGACATCTCTGTCTGACTTAAGCAACATAGGCTGCCTTTAAAGGCAATGTGTAGAAATAGGTACCTTTGAGATGAGATTCATTTGGCCGAATGTGGTTGTCTACTCTTGTACGTCCAGAACTCTCAAACTATTTTTCCCCCTTGACATTAAGGGAACCCAGGTGACTTGGTCCAGTGTAAAAATCTGCACTGTAATGTGCTAGGTAGGCTGACTCCAGCTATTATTTTCCCATCACACTAGATACATTCATCCTGAACTGTTTTCAAATGCAATAGACTTTCTTTTAACACTAGAAATGTAATGGTTTGAATCTGGGGTGGTTTATCTATGTTATACTCATGTTTTTCCCTTCCCTTCCCTTCCCTTCCCTTCCCTTCCCTTCCCTTCCCTTCCCTTCCCTTCCCTTCCCTTCCCTTCCCTTCCCTTCCCTTCCCTTCCCTTCCCTTCCCTTCCCTTCCCTTCCCTTCCCTTCCCTTCCCTTCCCTTCCCTTCCCTTCCCTTCCCTTCCCTTCCCTTCCCTTCCCTTCCCTTCCCTTCCCTTCCCTTCCCTTCCCTTCCCTTCCCTTCCCTTCCCTTCCCTTCCCTTCCCTTCCCTTCCCTTCCCTTCCCTTCCCTTCCCTTCCCTTCCCTTCCCTTCCCTTCCCTTCCCTTCCCTTCCCTTCCCTTCCCTTCCCTTCCCTTCCCTTCCCTTCCCTTCCCTTCCCTTCCCTTCCCTTCCCTTCCCTTCCCTTCCCTTCCCTTCCCTTCCCTTCCCTTCCCTTCCCTTCCCTTCCCTTCCCTTCCCTTCCCTTCCCTTCCCTTCCCTTCCCTTCCCTTCCCTTCCCTTCCCTTCCCTTCCCTTCCCTTCCCTTCCCTTCCCTTCCCTTCCCTTCCCTTCCCTTCCCTTCCCTTCCCTTCCCTTCCCTTCCCTTCCCTTCCCTTCCCTTCCCTTCCCTTCCCTTCCCTTCCCTTCCCTTCCCTTCCCTTCCCTTCCCTTCCCTTCCCTTCCCTTCCCTTCCCTTCCCTTCCCTTCCCTTCCCTTCCCTTCCCTTCCCTTCCCTTCCCTTCCCTTCCCTTCCCTTCCCTTCCCTTCCCTTCCCTTCCCTTCCCTTCCCTTCCCTTCCCTTCCCTTCCCTTCCCTTCCCTTCCCTTCCCTTCCCTTCCCTTCCCTTCCCTTCCCTTCCCTTCCCTTCCCTTCCCTTCCCTTCCCTTCCCTTCCCTTCCCTTCCCTTCCCTTCCCTTCCCTTCCCTTCCCTTCCCTTCCCTTCCCTTCCCTTCCCTTCCCTTCCCTTCCCTTCCCTTCCCTTCCCTTCCCTTCCCTTCCCTTCCCTTCCCTTCCCTTCCCTTCCCTTCCCTTCCCTTCCCTTCCCTTCCCTTCCCTTCCCTTCCCTTCCCTTCCCTTCCCTTCCCTT